TATGTACACGTTGTTATTATCAAATATTATCATTTCCATAAATGTAAACAATTGGAAGAAAAAAAAATGACAGTGATGTTTTACTTTTCCTAACTTTATATTAAAAGTGAACAATGAATAAAATTTTAATCTTAGTATGTCCCTGATTTAATGTATACGAAATTTCAGTTGATGTGAAAAAAATGTACAAATTTGAGGGTGCGTACCCTGAAGTTCATATTGAATTTTATTATGCGGGCTTGCTAATTTTCAGCAGGGCTGACAGACTTTATGAGTAGTCAGCCCTGCTGGTCCACCTGAATTTTTTCCGAGTTTCGTACACTGGCCAGGATACTTGGACACAAATTTGAAGTTAATATTTTCTCCATAATATCACGAATTATATATTCTAATAGCATTTCACACAAAAATTTATTAAAAATCTTATTTCATTTAAAAGTTATTAAAACTTCAAATTTTTTGGCGGGTTTGATTGACTAATCCTGGCACTTTCACATATTTAACTTTATTCTTAATCCTTCAGAAAATTGGCAATCTTGTTGTGTATTAATGAGAAATATTAAAACTTTAATCCAGAAAAATAATTTTATTCAGAATAGAAATGTTAGAAAACAAAACACCTTCACAAGTATCGTCATTTCGAACTAAGTCGTGTGTGCAAATCGATCACACTCGTGTTATGTACACAGTTTTTGTAAACAAGGCACAAACTCTGTTTTTATTTATGTTAAGATTTCACCGGGTGCGTTCTGAATCGTCACAGTCTGCTTACCACAACTGCATGGACTGAGAATATATTGTGTGATTGTTTTGCTTTTGAACATGTCTACTCTGAATTTTCTGAATTATAGTATCAATATTTTGCATTCATACACAACACAGTTGCCACTTTTCCTAAGTATTAAGAGTAAAACTAAAATTTGTGAAAGTGTAAGGATGTGTCAATCAAACCCGCCAAAAAAATTAAAGTTTTAATAACTTTAAAATGAAATAATATTTTTAAGTAATTTTTGTGTGAAATGCTATTAAAATATATACTTTGTAATATTATAGAGAAAAACACAGAAAATATTAACTTCAAATCTGTGTCGAAGTACCTTTAAGCTGAAAATAACTACCAAATTCATCAAAACAAATATTTCTGAGGTTGTATATGCCTTTTCTCCCAAAAAATAATCCACAATATTTGATACGGTTTGACAGTTGGGACGAACGCCGTTAATTGTAACTTCAAAAATATACCTGAAACGTTGATCCGCCACTTCAAACGCCAAGTCGCACGAGACATCTAGACTGTGACGTCACACGAGAGCTCATCAGGGTTTATGGAAACAGCTGAGTGTCTAGTTGAAACCATGAAGTTAGAATAATCTAACTGTGTCTCGGTACAGGCCCTCACCACACTTAAAATACATCCCATATGCTTGCAATATAGCAAATCGGAGCGGATCCGCTCCGAAATGATTTTAAAGAATATAAAAGGATTTTCACTAGAAATAACTACCAAATTAATCAATACAAACCTTTTTGAGATTGTATATGCCTTTCATCCCAAAAAATAATCCATATAAAGACGAAAATCCAATAAATTTTCTCAACATTTTTCTCTCGCTTCAAATTTAGCTGCCATGTTTTCAATCGGAATTCTCTGAATTGTTCATAGTAAATGCACTGAGTACAACTTTTCTATGAGTTATTGCCCGTGTTTCTTTTGCTACAATATGAATACATGGAACGAATTCTATCGTTAAACTGGGTCCGTAGGACAATATTATTTTAACGATAGAATGTTCTATCTAGAAACCATAGACCTATGGCAATTTTTGTCAAAAAACATTGCAGATTTATTTTGTGTTTCTTTTAAAGATTTCGACAAACTGAAAGCCTTTTATTCTTTACATTATTATTTGCCGAAAGGGTATTGGGTAGCAAAGGAATTCTGGGAAGGTTTCACAGAAAAATTTGCTTGACCTATGTACAGATTTCATTCAGAATTTCCTCTTTTCCTACACTTTAGTCTATTGAGCTCGCTATAAAAATGAAAATTTAACATTTTTTTTCAAGGTTTTGCTTATCCGTTGAAATTTACATGCTTACATTCAGAAGTCTCAGGATTGTCTGTAGCTAATGCAATGAGTTAGAGTTATCAGCCATTTTTCCTCGCTACATTGCCAATACATGGAACAAATTCTATCGTTATTCTATCTGTAGGACTATATCATTTTAACAATGAATAGAATGTTCCATCAGGTATCCCCAAGCTCTGACTGCCATCACCTAATGCATGTTAAGCTGAGAAAAGCTATCTGAAATATTGTAAATGTTTTTTCCATCGCTAAAGTCTTACAAATGACCAAACCTCAAACATAGTTTTTAACACCAATTTGTAGCAATTACAAATAAAAAAACAACAACAAAGTTATCATGCTTAAATCACACCAAGGCATTCAAAAAGATATGAAATAGACAGCACTTGATACAATCATGATCATGATGATTACTGCTTAGTAATTATACTTGGTAATTTTATGTAGGAGAATATTTTTTATGAATCTTAGCTATTGCTTATAATATTGTAATTTTGACTCAGATGACACAAAGGTGTAGCTTTAAATAATTTTTCCAGTAAGTGTTCATTTTAAAGGTACTTGGACACAGGTTTGGAGGTAATTTTTTCTGTATAATATTACGACTTATATATTTTAATAGCAATTCACACAAATATTAATTAAAAATCTTATTTCATTTAAAAGTTATTAAAACTTTAAATTTTTTGGTGGGTTTGATTGACACATCCTTGCACTTTCACAAATTTTAAGTTTACTCTTAAAACTTAGGGAAAGTGGCAAACTTGTTGTGTATAAATGAAAAATATTAATACTATAATCCAGAAAAATCAGATTAGACATGTTCGAAAGCAAAACAAACACACAATATATTCTCAGTCCGTGCAGTTGCGGTGAGCAGACTTTGACAATTGAACGCACCCGGTGTATCGTAAACAATCAACAATAACAGAGCTCTTGCCCTGTTTACAAAAACTGTGTACATAACACGAGTGTGATCGATTTGCACACAAGACTTAGTTCGGAATGACGGTACTTGTGATGGAATTTTGCTTTGTAACATTTCTACTCTGAAAAAAGTTATTTTTCTGGATTAAAGTCTTAATATTTCTCATTAAATCACAAAAAGGTTGCCACTCTACCGAAGGATTAAGAATAAAGTTAAAATTTGTGAAAGTGCAAGGATGTGTCAATCAAACCCGCCAAGAAATTTGAAGTTTAACTTTTAATAACTTTTAAATGAAATAAGATTTTTAATTAATTTTTGTGCGAAATGCTTTTAAAATATATAATTTGTGATATTATACAGAAAATATTAACTTCAAATCTGTGTCCAAGTACCTTTAATTCACAAGTTTGCTATTTTAAAACCTGATTTAAAACTAATTTTCCAAAGTCAGACTAACTTGTATTTTTCAGTTTATTTTGTTTTTATTTTTTCAGTGCGTGTTTGTGAGCCTGGTACATTTGGATGGCATTGTAAGTTTGACTGTCGTTGTGCGGAGGGCAGCTGTGACCCAGTCACTGGGGCCTGTCCCTCAGGATGTAAACAGAACCGCTACGGCCCCGGATGTCAGCTCTGTAAGTAAAAGACAATAGTGGTCCCAGTGCAAAAACAGTCATGAAAAAAAGTACCATCCACCCCCCTTTCCCCATTAAAAATAAATAGATATTCCATTGGAAATTGTTAGCATATTGAACATTCAAAATCATAGTTGCTTAGCATGTATAGGCATGTGGTGTATTTTTTATGATAATAAGAAAAAGAATTTCAAGATGTCATAGATATGATACACATTGGAAGTGAATACAGATATTATTTTTTGTTTTTATAACAGTTACAACCAATGTAAATCTGAAAGTTGCTGTTCTCATGTAATTTTGCGAGTAACTAAAAATAAAAACAAAATTTTGAACTTAAGTATCTTAAGTATTTCAGCAGAAAGTTGAAACATTTATTCTAAATTGGTAGGTTTTGAATTTGAGACAAAAATAAGGGAAATTGAAATATATATTTCATTTGATACCTGATTTGGTTTTGCCAGTATCGGTGTTCCGTTACTCGTCGGAGGCTCATGGATATCAGGGGAACACAGACAGAACTGGTGATGGAGAGAAATGTGTTCCATGGAACAACACCATATTTATCAAAATGTATGGATTGAAATCATCAGATTTTCCCGATCAGGCAATCCCTGGTGCCGTTTGTCGAAATCCACTGAACTTCAAAATAAGAAGTGAGGCATTGGAAGGCAAAGGACCATGGTGCTTCACCAACTTCATGGAAAAAAATGAATATTTCGGGTCATGTAATATTCCATTAAGAGGTAAGTTTAGGCTAGGGAGTCATGTAATATTCCAATGGGAGGTTTTAATAGGCATATGATATTTTACTTTAAAGACAAAAACCATTTGATTGTCTTACATGCAATTCCATGAGATTAACCAAAGTTTATTTGCCATATGAAATTTTTAACCATATGATATTCTTCTTATACATACAGTGCATATAATGAAGATAATGTATAAGTCACTCAGATTGCAGAAATAGGTTAAATCATTGTAATAATTGTTAAAAGTTTACTTCAGGAGCGGAGCTTCAGGGAGATGTTTACTGGTATGTATGTAATGTCTTGTTGTAGGTTGTGATTCTGGAAGGTTTGGTGAGATGTGCGAGTTTGAGTGTCATTGTAAGAATGAGGACTCGTGTACTCGTCTAGGGACATGTCCATTGGGATGTCATCCTGGTTGGCTCAATACAACCTGTCAAACACGTAAGTGACACTGACTCAATACAATCCGTCAAACACATAAGTCTCACTGATTCAATGCAATCTGTCAAACACATAAGTCACACTGATTCAATATAACCTGTCAAACATATATGTCACACACACTCAATACAATCTGTCAAACACGTAAATCACACTGATTTAATACAACCTGTCAAACACGTAAGTCACACAGACTCAATACCACTTGTCAAACACACAAGTCTCACTGATTAAATGCAATCTGTCAAACATGTAAGTCATACTGATTCAATATATATAACCTGTCAAACATGTATGTCACACACACTCAATGCAGTCTGTCAAACACGAAAGTCAGACAGACTCAATACAACCTGTCAAATACCCAAGTCACACTAAATCAACACAACCTGTCAAACACGCAAGTCACACTTATTCAATACAACCTGTCAAACATGTAAGTCACACTGACTCAATACAACCTGTCAAACAAGTAAGTCACACTGACTCAATAATACCTGTCAAACTGAAGTCACACTGACTCGATACAACCTGTCAAACATGTAAGTAACACTGACTCAATACAACCTGTCAAACATGTAAGTCACACTGACTCAATACAACCTGTCAAACATGTAAGTCACACTGACTCAATACAACCTGTCAAATACGCAAGTCACACTGATTCAATACAACCTGTGAAACAGGTAAGTCACAAAGTCCTGGTATTTGCAAATGTCTTCCGTATTGACACCCCAAAATTCAGTTTTATCAGTGCTGAAAATTTTTTTCTATAAAGATCAATGTTATACATGATAATAATGTACAGTAATTCAAATTTCTTGTTCTCAAATGCATGTTAAAGATGTTCATCAATTTATATTTGTAACATGTTTGTCATTTATGTACATCTTGTAACACAACAGCTTGTGAGCCCGGTAACTTTGGAGATGGTTGTGTGTCCAGGTGTGGAAACTGTAAATCGGGACCGTGTGATTTTGAGTCGGGGGAATGTGATGGAGGGTGTTCAGCAGGCTGGAAAGGGAAACTGTGTAAAACTGGTAAGTGGGGGGTTTAATGAGGTACAGAGAGGGGGAAACTGTGTAAAACTGGTAAGTGGGGGATTTAATGAGGTACAGGGAAGGGGATACTGTGTAAAACTGGTAAGTGAGGGATGTAATGAGGTATAGAGAAGGGGAAACTGTGTAAAACTGGTAAGTGGGGGATTTAATGAGGTACAGAGAGGGGGAAACTATGTAAAACTGGTAAGATTAAATAAGGTACAGAGAAGGGGAAACTGTGTAAAACTGGTAAGTGGGGGATTTAATGAGGTACAGAGAGGGGGAAACTATGTAAAACTGGTAAGATTAAATGAGGTACAGAGAAGGGGAAACTGTGTAAAACTGGTAAGTGGGGGATTTAATGAGGTACAGGGAAGGGGAAACTGTAAAACTGGTAAGTGAGGGATGTAATGAGGTATAGAGAAGGGGAAACTGTGTAAAACTGGTAAGTGGGGGATTTAATGAGGTAAAGAGAAGGGGAAACTGTGTAAAACTGGTAAGTTGGGGATTTAATGAGGTACAGAGAAGGGGAAACTGTATAAAACTGGTTAGTGAGAGATTTAATGAGGTACAGAGAAGGGGAAACTGTATAAAACTGGTTAGTGGGAGAATTAATGAGGTACAGAGAAGGGGAAACTGTGTAAAACGGGTTAGTGGGAGATTTAATGAGGTACAGAGAAGGGGAAACTGTTTAAAACGGGTTAGTGGGAGATTTAATGAGGTACAGAGAAGGGGAAACTGTGTAAAACGGGTTAGTGGGAGATTTAATGAGTTACAGAGAAGGGGAAACTGTGTAAAACGGGTTAGTGGGAGATTTAATGAGGTACAGGGAATGGAAACTGTGTAAAACTGGTAAGTGGGGATTTAATGAGGTACAGGGAAGGGAAACTGTGTAAAAATGGTAAGTGGGGGATTTAATGAGGTACAGAAAAGGAGAAACTATGTAAAACTGGTAAGTGGGGGATTTAATGAGGTACAGAGAAGGGGAAACTGTATAAAACTGGTAAGTGGGGGATCTAATGAGGTACAGGTAAGGGGAACAAATGCAGATCTAATGAGAAATTGTTTGTGGGTTTGTTGTTTATGTACAGTTTATTATGTAGGCTGTGCTGATGGAGGGTTTGTGTGAATTGTCTTTGTTTTATGTACGGTTTGTTTTGTAGGCTGTTCTGATGGGGAGTATGGGGAGGATTGTTTGGAGACTTGTGGGGCGTGTCGCAGACCTCCATGTGACATCCGTACTGGTCAGTGTGCAGGGGGATGTCAGGACGGGTACACAGGAATTCTCTGTAAAACAGGTCAGTATAATATTATACTGTTATTGTCACATCACAATGGGGTTTTTTTTTATGAAAGATAAATCCTATATTTAACATGACATTTACAACAGAATGTGAAGCTGGATATTTTGGGACCAACTGTAGTAGGACATGTGGCCATTGTTTGACAGGAAGCTGCCATTTTGTGACAGGGGTGTGTTCAGCTGGATGTAAGCCGGGGTGGCAGGGGATCCAATGTCTGGAAGGTAAGGATCCAGTTGTTTTGATGGTGTTTGGGGTAGGATTCAGTGTCTCATTAGACAGCAGAGCAATTCTTAGATTTTATTTTTCAATTTAATTCAAATAATTACATATCAGTATTCATTGAATTTCTCTTAATTTTGTCTGTCTTAATTCCATTGTCTGTCTTAATTCCATTAAAAGCCAAATAGATTTTTTTTGTAATCAAAGCTTAAGTAATTTACTTCATTAATTTATAACCCTTAAGGCTTGAATTTAAATTTTTTCTTACATTTATAATTGAAATTTTTGCCGTTTCACTTCCTGAACCTCTAGAAGACCATATTCCATTAAGATGTGACTATTTCAATTTGTTTATTTGGCAGCGTGTGATGATTTCAAGTTTGGTGAGAACTGCTCCAATAATTGTGGGTCGTGTCTCGGTATGACCCCCTGTGATAAGGAGACCGGGCTTTGTACTGGGGGGTGTGAGGACGGATTTACTGGGGACCTGTGTATGGGTGAGTAGCTTTGGTGTAAAAATAAAGCATTAAAAGAATTATGAACTGTATAAAATTCTAACTTAACCGACATTACCTCAGTGTTTGATTGATATACAATCATGACAGACTAAGATAATGAATTTACCAATCCTATCTGAATTTGAAGATTTGGTTCCAGTGGAGTTATCAGACAATACATCGACGGGGAGTGTTATTGGAGGCATTGTGGCAGTACTGGTTATTATAGCCATCATTGTAATTGTCGTCATTGTCATCAGGTAGGTTTTATCCTTTGAAGTTGATGTTAAATACATTGGCAAGATGAATTACCTTTGACGATTTTACAAATCTTGTAGGGAATATTACTTCCTTCACTAGGAATTTCACTTGAGGATACTAGTATAGGGCCTGCTGTTCCCACAAAGTTTCATACTCTTAGGGATTTTATACTATTTTAAAATTTAAAGTTCAGCAGTTAAGATTTAAAGATTGAAAGAACTATATGCGGTATATTGCATATATTTGCCCCCACAAAAGTCAAATTTTGAAAACTTCCTGAAATGTGCTGAATTCAATAAATTGTATGTGAAATATAAATTAACAGAAAATATTTTAGTGTCAAAGCAGTGTATTTACAATTTTTGTTTTATGACGTCACAAACTAGTCTGATTTTATATCCTTTTTCAGAAAGAGGACAAAATGGACAAAATTTCAACAATTTTAGCTTCAAAATTTATAGAGCGCAAGTTTTTTTCAGGAACAATATTGACATTTTTAATTGTTATTATCATTCTACACATCATATCAAAATATTGGTCCTGAACACACATGCGCTCGGTGACTTTTACTCAAAATATCGACGAAATATGTACATTTTTCTGTAAAATTCATAAAAAACTGAAATTTACGTCATGTTTGTGACGTCATTACGTACATATGGCGTCATTACTTATGAAAATATTCAGTGCATTGAAGTCAGCTTATACTTCCCTGCTTAAGAACTTAATTAAATATATTTCCATCGAAGTTTGATTTGGGGGGCAAATACTGGTTATTACCGAATAAAGTTCTTTACATCGTTTACATACATATACATGTATCTTTCATGGTATTTATAGCATGATTACATTATTTTACAGACGTAGAAAGTTACAGACGCTAACATTTGGTAAAAAAGGACAGGATGAAGAAAAACGGCCTGTAGAACTGACTCAAAGTAAAGAAACGGATCAGCTAATAGCTAATGGTAGGCAGTAAACCTGTATTACTGTGAAATCACTAATTTTCATGGGGGGGTAATTTTCATAGTTTTCAAGGTATGAAGAGACCCACGAATTTATATCCACCACTGAAATGCAACTTTTGACATACAGTCAAACCTGTTTTAAGAGGCCACTCGTGGGAGAATGACAAATTGGCCACATAAGACAGGTGGCCACTTATTCCAGGTTTCAAACCAATGAATTAAAAAAATTGCGATCACAGTTGTGTATTTATTTTCACATGTATCCAAATCCAATTTCAACACATTTAAAAACTTGGGAAATTTTAAGTCAAATTAAATCCATTTTCTTACATTTTATTTTACATGAATTTCTGTGAGAAATCTGTTATTGTTTTTTTTTTGTGTGTTGGTAATTTAATTTTGCAGCCACAAGAAAATCATGAAATGTTCTAACAACTTATTAGCGTTTCCCTGATGCTGTGTAAAGCTTTTTAGTTTTTCTAGATATATATTTATTTATATAACATAAAGACTGTCCGCTATGACTTGATAACCTCAGGCGAAATTAATTGTAATTGAGTTCATGAAAATATTCAACAACTTACTTTCGTATATTAAGAGCACCAAAAAACATCTGTTAACAATAAATCATTTAATCATATTAATTAAATCATTAAATCCTGACAGAATTCAAATTACACCTGCAATTATTGGTCATTAACTCATTATCAGCTGTTCATGTTTGGCTTCGTATGAGGATACGAGGTCACGTGTCAGACGGAAGTCATGTGACAAAACGGACAAAATGGCCGCTGAAAACAGGCATGTTGAGCGCATGGGACCTAAAAACACTGGCCACTGGCCGCGTTAGACAGGTGGCCGCTTAAATGAGTTAAAATATAGTGAAAAATTGAACGTGCGGGATTGAAACTGGCCACTCATGGGGAGTGCTTTATAAGTTTAGCGGCGTAACATTGTGGGGCTCCTTAATCTGAATGTTGAACGAAAGACAACAGGATATAATTTGTTTTTAATATTTTATTAGATTTTATTCAATAAACATACAAAAATACTCTTCTTCAGCTCTGCGGTCCTCACCTGAAATAAAGACAAACCAACCACCCTTTCCAACAAATGTTAATATAAAAACCACCCTTTAGCAAACCCTTTAACAAATGCAAATAGACCTAATGCCTTTAGGTCTTGAGTTGAATCAAGCTTAAACTAGTGATATCTTCACTTATAGTGAGTACAAATATAAAATTTTAGGTTATAGCAAACAACTAATTGTATAGGGACAAAAAGTTTATGCTGATATCTCAATACAATGCGTTTAGCATTTGTTAACATTCAAAGGATGTAGCAAACAACTAATTGTATAGGGACAAAAAGTTATGCTAACATCTCAACAAAACTCAATACAATGCACCATGCATTTGTTAGTTTGTTGTAAATAATAATGTCAGGAGTTATAAATATCAAGTTCAGGTCACTTCTTGTGCCTTAGTAAATACTACTCAACAATAAACAATAACGAGTCCAGATCACTACTTGTGTCTGAATAAGATAAATGAATAAAGCAATCAAATGTTGCTAACAAATTCAGGTTAATAATTACCCATCATGTCAATTTGTTTCTCTGTCTAAAACAGAACCCTTTGTGATGGGGAGACTGCCTTATTCAGAGTTGGTCCGTCAGGTAGACCTTTCCGTGGGTGAGACCGCAGGCGTCTGACCTTTAGACGCTGGGAGCTCGTATATAAAGCCTTTACAAGCTTTATGACGTCAACCACTCAAAGCATGAGATTTGGCGCCATAACGTCAAATAGCTGGAAAACTTCGGACGCACTTAACTATTATACTTATCCGAGGTGTTCCGAATGCACTTTATAGATTTTGCCACTAAGTTAAAAAGCAGAGTGTAATTATAAGGTTTTACCCTAATTATCAATGAATGGATTTATTAATTATACAAATTATCAAAGGTAAGCACATTTAGTACTCTATAAAAGCATTTATAGACCAGTAAATGGTTTATTTACATTCCGTATTCCTCAAAACATGGAGGAAATTCGGTACATGGTGAACAATTTGCACCCAGATCATAATAAATTCCAAATAACATTAATCAATAATAACAGATAAACAAGAATAAATGTCAATTCATATCATTCATTCAATCATTCATCGAATCATTATTTTAATGATTCATATCACAAGAAACATTTTGTTTACTTATTCATAACCATAGTGGAGAATGCCAAATTCGTAACATTACTACTAAACAGTTATTCAACCATGAAATAAAATCCCAATGAACTAATAAATTTTCCTCAAACCTCAAAAATTTGACCCTCGAAAATATGTGATTTCACAGTAATATTGCTCTCTAAATGTAGTCTTCAGGTCTCTCAGCTAGAAAAAAAAGTGACACACTTTATCATTTGAATAAAGGAGAAACTGAGAGGCCTGCCTATTTATCAGTCAGTTAATTACGTATTAATTTTATTTCCCAGAATCCTCTATGTCTGATCCTCATGATGACACAGATCCCAACCTGAATGAGCCAATATACGCCAACGTTAACACCAAGAAGCAGAGCAGTCCTATCAAAGTGGCCGACTTGTTTGATTACATCCGAGAAAACAAGAAAAACGAGTGTGAGGGATTCAAAAAAGAGTTCAATGTAAGACGGAGATTAAAGTTTGATACCTTAAAGAAAATATGTTAAAACTTCAATGTATTGGAAAAAAAGTAATCCACAAATATTTGGCCTCAAAAATTATGGTTCCACAATATTACATGTACCAAATGTAGACATATTTCTGTTAAGATGAAAAGTCCTTCCTTTTGGCAACTTTGCCACAAATCTTATAAACAAGCTTTTTGATAAAGGATGTTATAAAGCTATTGACTTTTATTACATCAGGAACTCCCCCATGGGTTAATGGCACTCTGTGATGAAGCTAAGAAATCCGAAAACAAACCTAAAAATAGATACGGAAACATCACAGCCTGTAAGTAGGAATTATTGTCTATCTATATGTGTGTGTTCTAAAATCCTCATGTCATGATAAATTGTTATGTAATCTATTGTGATGTTAAAGATGACCACTCCCGTGTTGTGTTGGATCAACTCCTTAATTTCAATGGTATACATGTACATCTATTGTAATGTTACAGACGACCACTCCCGTGTTGTTTTGGATCCACTCCTTAATTGTAATGTAATACATGTAATCTATTGTAATGTTACAGATGACCACTCCCGTGTTGTATTGGATCCACTCCTCAATGACCCTAACTCAGATTACATCAATGCCAACTTCATAGATGTAAGTCAAATGGTTAATCAGATTCTTTGTAAATTTGCTATTCTCTATTTTATGAAACTTGAATAATTTTTATACCCCCGCAAACGAAGTTTAGGGGGGTATATTGGAATCACCATGTCCGTCTGTCTGTCCGTCTGTCCGTCCGTCTGTAGACAAGATTTTGTCCGGACCGTTTCTCAGAAACTGTTGGATGGATTTGTCTGAAAATTTATACACTTATTATTCACCATATGAAGGTGTGCACCTGGGATTTTCATCATGATTGGATGATTTTTCTGCATTTTACAGGCGTTTTTTCTTTTTTATTTTTTAATTTTGTTTGGCTCATAACTAGAAAACTATTAGACTTACAATCATCAAACTTGGACAATTTATGCATCTTGGGTAGACGGTGTGTCACGACCTATTTCAAGGTCACTGTGACCTTTAATTTAAGTGATTTTTTTAAAAAAACTAAGTCTTTAAAATTTTAAATTTCATAATCCTAAAAAATGTAAAAATATAGTTGTATCCTTATTAAAAAATGCTAAATTAAGTAAAAACTTATTTTTCATCATATACTTTACAGCAAATTCTATAACAAATATTAATGATTTGAGAGGAATTCAGTTTGTCCCATGGGCATAATTATCAAGCACTGGTCAAGGAGAATTTTTGATAGCAGAAATTAATGAGTTCATTGTCGGGAGTTAACTGGCAAGAACATCATGCAGTATTATCTTAATTTATCTCTTGGGAGTTGGGCAGAAAGAAATGGCCTTATAGTTGCTTGTGTTAATTAAGAGTTCTTGATGGCTGTAGTTCAGATAAAGATCTTTCAATTGGTGTAATGTAATTAAAACACTGTTCAAGTTCAAGTTCAAGTTCATTTATTCGCTCAACACCATATTAAATACATGGTACATGAGGACAAAGATAAATATTTACATGTATATATATATAATCAGGTCAGAGGTATAAGTATATGATATACACAATCAGAAAATGAGAAGGGAGAAAAATGGAAAAAGAAAATGAAGAAAAAAATATAATAAATAAAACATGTAATAATGACATAAATAAGGGGAACAAATTATGGAGGACAGACTAAATCGTATATTTTTGATATAAACATACAAAGTTTTTTAAGCGACATAGCATCTTGTTTTGTCATCAGTTGAGAAAATTTCAAAATATTAGGTCTAGTAAAGTAGTACTCATTAATATACTTTTTCCTGATTTTTGACAGTGCATTACATCATATACTTTACAGCAAATTCTGTAACAAATGTTAATGATTTGAGAGGAATTCAGTTTGTCCCATGGGCATAATTATCAAGCACTGGTCAAGGAGAATTTTTGATAGCAGAAATTAATGAGTTCATTGTCGGGAGTTAACTGGCAAGAACATCATGCAGTATTATCTTAATTTATCTCTTGGGAGTTGGGCAGAAAGAAATGGCCTTATAGTTGCTTGTGTTAATTAAGAGTTCTTGATGGCTGTAGTTCAGATAAAGATCTTTCAATTGGTGTAATGTAATTAAAACACTGTCAAATTGATGTTTTAGTGTATGATTAAAACTGAATTAGTATTGTATAATATAATTAAAATTAATTATACATGCGTTCATTGAAAAAAAATTACATTTCAATTTTTATATATTTGCAACAAATTGCAGTCATGTCTCACTTAGAATTTTATAGTCTAAAGAATAATTATTAATTTTTGATTTTTAGCTCACCTGAGCCGAAGGCTCAAGTGAGCTTTTCTGATCACATTTTGTCCGTCGTCCGTCCGTCTGTCTGTCCGTCCGTCTGTCTGTCCGTCTGTAAACTTTTCACATTTTCGACTTCTTCTCAAAAACCAACGGGCCAATTTTGACCAAACTTGGTACAAAGCATCCTTGGGTGAAGGGAATTTAAATTGTTAAAATGAAGGGACATATCCCCTCGCAAGGGGAGATAATCAAGAAAAGACAAAAATAGGGTTGGGTCATTAAAAAATCTTCTTCTCAAGAACCACTGTGTCAGTAAAGCTGAAACTTATGTGGAAGCATCCTGGGGTAGTGTAGATTCTAAATTGTTCAAATCATGACCCCCGGGGGAAGGGCGGGGCCACAATGGGGAATCAAAGTTTTACATAGAAATATATAGGAAAAAACTTTGAAAATCTTCTTCTCAAGAACCACTGGGCCAGTAAAGCTGAAACTTATGTGGAAGCATCCTGGGGTAGTGTAGATTCTAAATTGTTCAAATCATGACCCCCGGGGGAAGGGCGGGGCCACAATGGGGAATCAAAGTTTTTTATAGAAATATATAGGAAAAATCTTTGAAAATCTTCTTCTCAAGAACCACTGGGCCAGAAAAGCTGAAACTTATGTGGAAGCATCCTGGTATAATGTAGATTTTAAATTGTTAAAATAATGACCCCCGGGGGAAGGGTGGGGCTACAATGGGGAATCAAAGTTTTTTATAGAAATATATAGGAAAAATCTTTGAAAATCTTCTTCTCAAGAACCACTGGGCCAGAAAAGGTGAAGCTTATGTGGAAGCATCCTGATAAAATTTAGATTCTAAATTGTTCAAATAATGACCCCCAGGGGAAGGGCGGGGCCACAATGGGGAATCAAAGTTTTTTATAGAAATATATAGGAAAAATCTTTGAAAATCTTCTTCTCAAGAACCACTGGGCCAGAAAAGGTGAAGCTTATGTGGAAGCATTCTGGGGTAGTGTAAATTCTAAATTATAGGAATCATGACCCCCAGGGGAAGGGCGGGGCCATTATAGGGAATCAAAGTTTTACATAGAAATATATAGGAAAAATCTTTGAAAATCTTCTTCTCAGGAACCACTGGGCCAAAAAAGCTGAAACATATGTGCCCATGGAAGGATCATGGGGTAGAGTAGATTTCAAAATGTCTAAATTATGATCAGTGGGGTAGGGTAGGGATGCATTATGTATAACAAGGGGGAAATCTGGTAAAGAACAGAATGGTCAAAGCTTCTCAGGTGAGCGATGTGGCCCATGGGCCTCTTGTTTTTTATTAGACTGTAACATTTCCATTATTTCATAAAATATGCAATAAACAATTTAAAGCTGCAGACGGATATTTGTTAAGCTCTAACACAGCCAGTTTAGAATTATATGATGTACGTATTATTTGTTTTAATTAATCCCTGCACTGTAAGTCTCTTAGAGATGTATGTACAATATTTTAAACCTGATAAGAAATGGAAAATAGATCATTGAAATCTGTGTCAATCTGTTAATCAAGGTTACTTGATTTTCTTGCACCCTAACCAATTTATGATTATTGAACAATATTTGATTGGCGTATCATGCTGTGGCGGGGCACTTTATTAGACAATAGTGAACACCTCTTACTAGATCGATAAAATATTTCTGAATTGGCACCTACTCTGAAAAACCCAGCGGGGGTATTTGTCCCTATTGGACAGTTCTAGTTTTTGATTAATATAACACAAAAACAAGTGTTTATCTTTTTCCTGATCTTTCATTAAGGGCTACAACAGAAAAGGAGCTTATATCGCCTCACAAGGTAATGGACACTTGTTTGTTAAAAATGAATAAAAAATGTTGTTTTACTGTATACAGGGTTATTTTCGCCCCGTTTTATAATTGCCCTTTTGAACTTGTGAACAATTTTGCCCCATTTTAAATTCACCCAGTCATAGTTCTGTTTAAGAAATTATGCTGTATATTTTGATTCGCCACGTTTTAAATTGGCCAATCAAGGAGAAGGCAAAAGGGGCAAATATTTCCCTGTACAGTAGAGACTCGCTATTACGGTGACGGTTTTATATGATAGAACGCTTATTACGTTGTAAATTCAAAGCACAAAACCATTTCTTAACAAAACTATACAAAAAAGAACCGTTTATTACGTTGTCCAAAATCGCCAGGTCTCAGCAATACGATATAAAAATTCTGTCAAATTTTTTTTTCACCCCGTGTTTATTCAGTGTTGATTGCTGGTAGACACTTAAGGAGACGCTAAATAAACATTGGAACACCTGTGCTCTGAGAGAGTGTTAACTGACAGGGCAGTTAGGTGATTAGTGACGCTTGATTGCACCCACCTGGACTGTTCCAGCGAACCCAGCAGATTTGGAGATGTGCCAAAGCCATTGTTAATTGTTAATCAATTAAAGTTTACTCATAAACCTAGCTTCTTCTTTATCTATCGCTGTTATTTTTTTTTTAATTCTTTAATTCTTTATTTCATACATAGTTTAATAAATTAATTTAATAAATAAAATGTTATATTTAATATTATGCATGTAAGCTGTACACAGGTACACATAATGTTTAATTTTGTTTGCAAATAAACTGCGTAAATAAACAGCTTGGGAATCAAACATAATTTGGACAAATTTTGAACTCCACTAATTAAAAAATGTGCTCTATACTCTTATTGTGTTGGAAAAAGAAGAAATAGCATCCTGAAAATAAGTTTTAAAGATAAGTAATCAATGAATTAAGTGTATATGGCATATTGGAGAAGAATTTGAGCATGAAAAGGAGATAGAAGGAGAAAAATATACCCCCAAATACAAGAACATGTTTTCCAAACGATGTTTTACTGGATTTTATTGGGAACTTTTATTACGTTGCCCTCGGTATTACGATATTTTACCATGACAAAGTGAACATCGTAATAACGGGTCTCTACTGTATACAGTTTTTAATCTTCTGAAGTCATAAAGCATTTCACATTTTGGTGAATAATATTTTTTCACTTAAATAGCATACACATATATACCCATGTTAGTACATGTATATTAAAACACCTCTTTGATGCACACAGATTATTTGTATCTTTGTTTTTCTGATAATTAAGGTCCCACTAAGGTGATGATTCGAGATTTCTGGAGAATGGTTTGGCAGAAGAGAGTCTGTAAGATTGTCATGCTGACCAACTTAATGGAGGCCTGCAAGGTACTCTCTAGTGTCTTGTATCCTGTCTCAGTACTCTCAGTACTTGTCTTATTTGAGAGAAATTTCAGTCATAATACCATCAGACTTAAAATTTTGTTTTTTAAAATGATATCAACTGAAAAAAATTACATTTTTCAAATTGTTCATATATTGTGAAAAACTTGTTAACTTCCAGATTAAAAAAGAAAAATTAATTGTTTTAAATAAATGTATGAAGTTCTCATGGAATTTTTTCAAATTGACAGAAAAAATGTGAGCAGTACTGGTCGGAGGAGGGGGCTGGTAAATACGGGGACATCTCGGTGGAAATGTTAGACACGGCGGTGTTTAATGACTTTACCATCAGAACGTTCAAAATAGCTGCAGTATGTATCAATCAATGTTTGTAATAGATTGAATTAGTTCTTCATTAAATGATGCAGGTTAATTAATGCTAGTAACATTTATAGAGTCATTTTCTTGTAACTGTATCTTTGTTTACCAGAATGGAGTGAGTCGTATTGTGAAACAGTTCCACTTCACCAGCTGGTCAGATCACGGTGCCTTGATTTACCCCACCCCTCTGTTGACCTTTAGACGTAAAGTTCGGATGTACAGTCCGGACAGCACGGCTCCTATAGTGGTTCATTGCAGGTAAACAATAATAACAAACAAGTTATAAACACACACTGGGCACCTGCTTTTAATCCATCACCATATTTACATGTATTATCCATAGGGCTGTCATGGTTCCAAAATTTTTCGGGTCGGGTCGGTTCTGATTTTTTCAGGTTCGGTTTCGGGTTTTTCAGTTCGGGTAGGTAGTGGAATAAAAGCTCGTGATTTGTATTATTTTCAACAACAAAAAGAATATTTTCATTTAATCTTAGAAATAGCAACATAATAACTAGCTTAAAGTAGCTTCCTGACTAGACAACAATTGTACCAAATTATTTAAATCATCTTATAATGACAATATACTAACAAATGTCTTGTTTTTGACGCCATTTTTATAGTAAAATCTACAGTACTCTATTATACAAATCGGAACCGAACCAAATTCCGGAAAAACGGAACCGTACCCGACCCGAGTTAATTGTTCCGCGGTTCCAGGTCATTTCGGGTACCCGTGACAGCCCTAATTATCCATGTACAAAATGAATTAGGAAAACATGATTTTAAGTTCTGTATGTGAAGTTCACTGTTCAATGTCATTTTTTCTCTCTAAAATAGTATTGATTTTGATTTCTATCTTTAAATTTGCCTACAGGGTAAAGAATAACAATAAGAACTATAAGTTTATATTTGATGAGAAGTAGACATGACCTTTGTTTTGATGTTACAGTGCTGGTATCGGTCGGTCGGGGACATACATTGCCTTAGACTATCTACTGGATCAGGCTAGAAATGAGAACATTGTAGACGTCCTGAAGTGTGCTCAGCTGATGAGGGCCAACAGAATCAACATGATCCAGACGTGGGTAAGTGTCACCGTGATAGTGGTAAACAACAGAATCAACATGATACAGACATGGGTAAGTGTCACCGTGATAGTGGTAAACAACAGAATCAACATGATCCAGACTTGGGTAAGTGTCACCGTGATAGTGGTAAACAACAGAATCAACATGATACAGACGTGGGTAAGTGTCACCGTGATAGTGGTAAACAACAGAATCAACATGATACAGACGTGGGTAAGTGTCACCGTGATAGTGGTAAACAAGAGAATCAACATGATACAGACATGGGTAAGTGTAACCGTGATAGTGGTAAACAACAGAATCAACATGATACAGACGTGGGTAAGTGTCGCCGTGATTGTAGTAAACAACAGAATCAACATGATACAGACGTGGGTAAGTGTCACCGTGATAGTGGTAAACAAGAGAATCAACATGATACAGACATGGGTAAGTGTAACCGTGATAGTGGTAAACAACAGAATCAACATGATACAGACGTGGGTAAGTGTCGCCGTGATTGTAGTAAACAACAGAATCAACATGATACAGACGTGGGTAAGTGTCACCGTGATAGTGGTAAACAACAGAATCAACATGATACAGACATGGGTAAGTGTCACCGTGATAGTGGTAAACAAGAGAATCAACATGATACAGACATGGGTAAGTGTCACCGTGATAGTGGTAAACAACAGAATCAACATGATACAGACGTGGGTAAGTGTCACCGTGATTGTAGTAAACAACAGAATCAACATGATACAGACATGGGTAAGTGTCACCGTGATAGTGGTAAACAACAGAATCAACATGATACAGACATGGGTAAGTGTCACCGTGATAGTGGTAAACAACAGAATCAACATGATACAGACGTGGGTAAGTGTCACCGTGATTGTAGTAAACAACAGAATCAACATGATCCAGACGTGGGTAAGTGTCACCGTGATAGTGGTAAACAACAGAATCAACATGATACAGAGGTGGGTTAATGTCACCGTGATAGTGGTAAACAACAGAATCAACATGATACAGACATGGGTAAGTGTAACCGTGATAGTGGTAAACAACAGAATCAACATGATACAGACGTGGGTAAGTGTCACCGTGATAGTGGTAAACAACAGAATCAACATGATACAGAGGTGGGTTAATGTCACCGTGATAGTGGTAAACAACAGAATCAACATGATACAGACATGGGTAAGTGTAACCGTGATAGTGGTAAACAACAGAATCAACATGATACAGACGACGGTAAGTGTCACCGTGATTGTAGTAAACAACAGAATCAACATGATACAGACATGGGTAAGTGTCACCGTGATAGTGGTAAACAACAGAATCAACATGATACAGATGTGGGTAAGTGTCACCGTGATTGTAGTAAACAACAGAATCAACATGATACAGACATGGGTAAGTGTCACCGTGATTGTAGTAAACAACAGAATCAACATGATCCAGACGTGGGTAAGTGTCACCGTGATAGTGGTAAACAACAGAATCAACATGATACAGAGGTGGGTTAATGTCACCGTGATAGTGGTAAACAACAGAATCAACATGATACAGACATGGGTAAGTGTAACCGTGATAGTGGTAAACAACAGAATCAACATGATACAGACGTGGGTAAGTGTCACCGTGATAGTGGTAAACAACAGAATCAACATGATACAGAGGTGGGTTAATGTCACCGTGATAGTGGTAAACAACAGAATCAACATGATACAGACATGGGTAAGTGTAACCGTGATAGTGGTAAACAACAGAATCAACATGATACAGACGACGGTAAGTGTCACCGTGATTGTAGTAAACAACAGAATCAACATGATACAGACATGGGTAAGTGTCACCGTGATAGTGGTAAACAACAGAATCAACATGATACAGATGTGGGTAAGTGTCACCGTGATTGTAGTAAACAACAGAATCAACATGATACAGACATGGGTAAGTGTCACCGTGATAGTGGTAAACAACAGAATCAACATGATACAGACGTGGGTAAGTGTCACTGTGATTGTAGTAAACAACAGAATCAACATGATACAGACATGGGTAAGTGTCACCGTGATTGTAGTAAACAAGAGAATCAACATGATACAGACATGGGTAAGTTGTCACCGTGATAGTGGTAAACAACAGAATCAACATGATACAGACATGGGTAAGTGTCACCGTGATAGTGGTAAACAACAGAATCAACATGATACAGACGTGGGTAAGTGTCACCGTGATAGTGGTAAACAAGAGAATCAACATGATACAGACATGGGTAAGTGTCACCTTGATAGTGGTAAACAACAGGTGCTATGTCTCCAATATTTACATGACGTGAATATGTTGGCTTCATTCACTGTGTATAACATATCAGTTTTATTTGCTATAAATCAAGTTCAACATGAAAAACAGCTCTGTAAATTCTGCAGTAAGTGACTCTTTCTTTAATGTCAGAATTCTGTTTCCAGGAGCAGTATGTGTTTGTTTACGAGACGATACTGGAGGCCACCCTGGCAGGGGAGACAACTATCGCACACTCAGCATTCCGTGCTCAGTACGAGGAGCTGTGTCAGCCACCAGACAACGGGGGACCAGCCAAAATGGAGGAACAGTTCAAGGTACCCTTAGTTATTATTGGCTGTTAGTGTATGTCCTTTTATTGATGAGGTTTATCCCTGATTAAGAAAACTATTTAATTGAATAAAGAATTTTATTATACACATAAAGTAAAGGCAGATATTCATAAAACTTGCCATAAGTGATTGCTCTTTGTTTAGAACAGTAGAAATTTCTTTGTTTGTTGAAGGTGCTGCAGAAGTTAACTACTAGTATTGACAGTTCGCAGTTTAAAGAAGCATTAGACCCCGAGAATGTTAGCAAAAACAGAGTGAAAAATATTCTGCCAGGTTTGTGTTCTACCACAAAAAGGGATAAAAGATTCTGACCTTTTCATACTGACTTAACACTATCAGTGGGGAATCTAAAGTTTAATTTAAAGTTTTTATTTAAGTCAGAAAGTTAAAGCTTTTCAATTAAAGAATAAAAAATAACATTTTACCTCCTGAAACTACTCATTGTCAATTTTTTTTTAATTTTAGCAAAGCGATGCCGCCCAAATTTGTACACTCAAGTAGAGGGATGCAATAACTATATTAATGCCATGTTTCTACCTGTAAGTTTTACATTAAGAATTTTTAATCTAATTTATCTTAATACTCTTTATATGCTTTAGAAATACAGTGCATTCTTTTGTCATGAATTACCGGTATGTAGTATTTGTACAGGGTGTAATGAAAGTTCTTTCTGTTATAGGGCTACCTCCATCGTGACTCCTTTATTGTGACACAGATGCCTCTGCCTAACACAGTGGCTGACTTTTGGAGAATGCTATATGACTATAATTCCCACACTGTAGTCATGCTGAATGAGTTTGATAGAAATGACAAGGTATGGACATGTTTATCATGTTGGAGGTAAATCATGCAATCAGTTATCTTAATTCTTCATTGCAAAATTTCAAGCAAATTTTACTACGTCATCAGTGAATGGTTAATATTTAATAGGTATTACCAGCAACAATATAGCCCTTTCTGATATTTTAGATCTAATATTTTCTGAAGAGGATCCCCCCCCAAAAAAAGGGGGGGACTACATAATTGCATCTACTATAGGTATATATATGATATGTATGAATACCTTGTTTCTGTAGAGCTGTGCCTTGTACTGGCCGGAGGAGTACGGTTATACAGTGGAGTACGACCCACTCAGTATAGAGTTACTGTCCTCTACTGAAGATAACAATGTCTCCATCCGAATCTTCAAACTCAGCAATCGCATCAAAGTAAGTCATAACTCAGTAATCGCATCAAAGTAAGTCATAACTCAGCAATCGCATCAAAGTAAGTCATAACTCAGTAATCGCATCAAAGTAAGTCATAACTCAGCAATCGCATCAAAGTAAGTCATAACTCAGTAATCGCATCAAAGTAAGTCATAACTCAGTAATCGCATCAAAGTAAGTCATAACTCAGCAATCGCATCAAAGTAAGTCATAACTCAGCAATCGCATCAAAGTAAGTCATAACTCAGTAATCGCATCAAAGTAAGTCATAACTCAGCAGTCGCATCAAAGTAAGTCATAACTCAGTAATCACATCAAAGTAAGTCATAACTCAGCAGTCGCATCAAAGTAAGTCATAACTCAGTTATCGCATCAAAGTAAGTCATAACTCAGTAATTGCATCAAAGTAAGTCATAACTCAGCAGTCGCATCAAAGTAAGTCATAACTCAGTAATTGCATCAAAGTAAGTCATAACTCAGTAATTGCATCAAAGTAAGTCATAACTCAGTAATCACAACAAAGTAAGTCATAACTCAGCAATGGCATCAAAGTAAGGCATAACTCGGTAATCGCATCAAAGTAAGTCATAATTCAGCAATCGCATCAAAGTAAGTGGATTAGTTCATACAAGTTTCTAGAACAATATTTTGACAAATTTAGTTGTGTTTGTTATAAATACTGCCATGTGTCTTGTTTCTGCATACAGAAAGAGGAGCGAGCAATGAAATACTGATATACATTTGTACATGTATATAATAAAATATTATTTTTTTTCCTGTGAACAGAAAGAGGAGCGAGCAATCAAACAGTTCCAGTTAAAGTCCTGGACTGAGAACCAGATCGTGCCAAGTAACCCCGACTCCATGATGCAGGTCATAGAGATGGTCTACGATTGGATGAAACAGAACGGCAAAGGACCAATCACAGTCCATTGCATGTCAGTTTATAATTCTTTGTTAAAATAGAGAGAGAAAACTGTGTTTGAAATTAAGAAATTAATAATGTTTTTATACAAATCAAATACCATAAAACTCAGTTAGTACGAACACAAATATTGCAAATTCATGGATTAGCGAAGTTATTTTGGATCCCCAGCTATATAAATTTAATGAATTCCTCATACGGATACAACGAAGTAATTTCATAGGTCCCCCTGATTTCATTATAACCAACTTTAACTGTACTTAAATAACTTGTAATTTTTTAACTATACTAAAACAAAAATTGATGAAGTAAATGCAATTATTTCATCTTTCTCATACAGTCAAACTTGTCTTAGCGGCCACCCGAAATCAATGGCCACTCGCGGTAAGCTGCCACTTTCAGTTCCCCCCGGCCATTTCGTCATTTGTTGCAATTCTTTCAGGTCTTTTTAATACATTCGCTTGGGTCATTATATACTCGATAGTGAATTTGACCTATTAAAGCAATTAAACAAATTACTTTTAGATACGCTGAACGTTGTGTTAATGAAAAAAACATGTTTCTCCTGGTAGACTATTTTGTAATTATTTTTCACTTTTAGACTATTTTGTAATTATTTTTCAAGATCGACCATTGAAAAATTAAAAGAATTCAAATACAATTAATAGTTTTTACACAGCTAAAGAAATTCAATCTTTAAGCTTACTTCTATCAGATTTTGTACTTTTCGACATTAATTCATCATTTCCTTGAATGTTTACTGGAAGAGTATGTGACCTAACACAGGGCTATCGATATTTTCACACCTTTTTTTGATTCCATGTAGAAACCCCTAATTGCTACTCTTGTGAAAACAAAGTGCATGATTATCTCATGAGACGATCGATAGGGATTAGTTACGCTCTACTGCACATGACACCTGTGTTGTAGAATGATGTCAACTGCGTAAATACACCTCTCTGGTCAACTGGTTAATCTTATTTGTGTGTCTGTGTATGTTACAGTGAAATTCTGTCAACTTTATATTATAATAGAAATAAAGACCAGACTTTAAAAACTCCAGCAAGTAAGGTAATCGCCGATTAATTAAATGGGGGGAGGGGGTTACACTGCTGAACATTACTTGAACTTTAAATACTTAAATAAATTTCTAGACTTTATTTTATTTTCAACTTAACTGTCATTTAATTAGTAAGTTTTTGTTATTTTTTTTAAAGAGATAATAGTAAAGCACATGTATTTCTTCAAATGCTTATTAACAGAGTTTACTTAATATTTTAATGTAAATCACACTGAGGAATGTATGATGTTTAACTGATATGTAGGAACAGAAACATGCACAAACCGTAACAATTTGGAATTATTTAATATTTCTTAAATTGTATATGTGCATTAATTAATACAATGTATATACACCAAAAAAATTTTTGTGAAATTTACCTGTTTAATTATCTAATTAATTAATTTAACTGTAGTGCTCAATGTTGTTTATTTATTGACCAACTGGCTATTTTGAGGGCAAACTGGAATAAGAGGCCACCTGTCTTAAGTGGCCAGTTTCCAGACTTCCCAAAGGTGGCCTCTTAAGACAGGTTTGACTGTACTTTTCATTTGATACAGGAACTTAAAGTTCCATATTCTTAAAAGTGTATATTGTGCCAAACCTTGTGAAATATTTTTAAAATAATGGGATGTGTTAACTAGACATTTCCCAAATTGATAATTATATATGTCAACCATGGTCTCAGTCATCATGCTTGGTTGTTACACCCTTTGTGGTCTGTAGGACAGCAATCTCTTCAGTGTTGTTTTTACTGTTAACAGGAACGGTGCTAAGAAGAGTGGATTATTCTGTGCCATTAACCTGATGTTTGAGAGAATGCAGCGAGACCATGAGGTGGACGTATTCCAAACCCTGAAAACCATCCGAGTCAACCGACCTCAGTTTATAGAGGACATTGTAAGTCAACAAATTATACTGTAACTTAATAACTGGCCAATATTTGTAGAGAATTTAAGACTAACAGATATAGTTAATTTAGTTAACTGAGTGCTCAAAAGTTATCCAAGGATAAATAAAAAATGTGTATTGAGTTTATTCTGGTTTTGATGATACAAGTATTTAGTATTCCCAACATTCATAACAAGCCCTGAAATAAACAGACACTCCAGGCTGACAAAGAGAACAATGTACATTATTCATTTATCAAATACTTCCCAAATTGGTTAAAGGAAGTAAATTTAGTTCATGTGTGTCTAGAAATTAAATGATATTTATTTACGGTAGTCCGTTTCAGATAGAATAATGTCAAACTTGTTTATAATTTCAGGAGCAATACCAGTTTTGTTACCAGATGGCCCTCAAGTATCTAGATTACAATGATCTCTGAACGTTACAGATCTGACTGGCCGTGTATCACTCGCGGATTTAATCGAGTCGTCAGCATTATCATGACATTGTGTTAGTTGTACCATTACCATATAACCATAGCTGTATAAATGTCTCTCCAATACCAAGTTTTTATATCCATATGATGGTAACTGTGTGACTTGGTCCAGTTAACAGGTGCTCTGGTCCATTCCTGGTTGTGTTACTTATTATAGACGGGTTGTCTGGGTTAATTGAAAGCTTTACTAGTTATATTTTACACAGTTTACCTTTACATGCAGGTTGTGAAATATTCCATACTGTGATTTGTAAAAAAAAAAACAACATTTTTTTTTCTCCATTGTTTTTAATAGTTATATATATATTTGTCAGAATGTATTAAAATATGGTTAAGTATTACTGTGTAAAAGATATATATTTTTATATGTATGTTTTAATCCTAAGGCTATTTTACATTCCAGTTACAAATTATGATGGTATAAAAATTTGCTACATGTACATGGGTATTTAAAAGACTGTATATTGTTTTTATTATTCAAAATACAAAAAAAAAATCATATCCATTCATAAACAGATATGTTGGACAAACATATACATATTAAAATGTGTCCAATCTTTGAACAAATGTTATGAAATATGTGCTGCTTATATTTTTTCATAAAATTTATTTTACAGATTCTGTTTTATAACTTTAAGGACCAAATTACTTTCATTCCAGATTTTTTCCATTGATAATTCTTTACTCTCAGCCTAAAAACAAGTATGTAGGACTAACCTTTGTTTCACATAAAAATTTGTTGTAAATGAATGCTCATAATATTGGAAATACTCAATTCATATTGATAAATTCTTAATTTTTTAACTTCATTTAAACTCGGTCAATTTTACACTAAGAATCTTTCATCATACATGTAATTCTATTTAATGAGGATCTTTTGATAGAAAATTTGAAAGCATTTCTTTTTCAGCTATTAAAGGTTTTAGTATATTGAAATCATGTGTACTGAACAATTACTTACTAATGAATGTTTAACTGTTTGTAAACTTGTTAGGTTGTTAAACAACTGTCTTCTTCATTTGTTATGTCCTGTCACACAATGTTAAAAACATTCCTTTGTTCATACTTACACGTACAAATGTAAATATTAAAATGTACACAGGTCCTTTTTGTATATATCTTCATGTATATTTTACTTTCTCTCTTTTGTATTCTTGATCATTTTCTTCATACCTTAAGTCAGTTTTAAAGAAATTTGTACATTTCCACTTAAAGTCATAAAAATCGAGTAATAGGCCCTATTTAATTTCAAGGTATACATTAATAACTCTTATCAATTGACCATAACTTCAGCTTAGAAAGAATATTGAGATAACTTATAGTAAGCTTGTTGCTGATTTAGATTTCTTTTTATGGTATCAATGATTTATATTCAGTTCTGGAAGGTCTTTTCATGGTTGTGAATAATATTGATACATGTATATCTTCTCTGCTTAGTCAGGACAATTTTTTTTGTCCAATTTTAACAAGACCTAAAAGACTTTTTATGTTACTCCAAGTTTTGCCAAAACAATCATGATTGTAAAAATAGCTTACATAAATAAAAGAAGTATCAAAAGGAATTGATTTCTGTATTTATTGATTATAATAAGTTGTTGTTTTACAAGAACATATGAACAGTGGATAGAAAAAGGATGATAATTTAAAGATATGAATGCATCTACTAGACTAAGTATTACCAGGGCGGTCTACATACTAAAATCAAAGTACATGTATGTTAAGGAAGCTGTATACACTGCACAGTGAAGAGTTCTACTTGTGGGGTAACTATACAGTTCGAGTAATCTGCTCTTAGAAGTACATGTATGTAAGGTAGAAAAATATTTATTTAGAGGTAATCAACCAATTTGTAAAAGATTAAAATATTCTTAGCATTATATTGGACCAAGAATAAGTACATTTATGAATTCATTTTTACCATTTATTTTCCCTATGTAAATAAACAAAGGTGATCTCTACTCACAAATACTGAAATAGTCTGTTGTCTTTGAACATTTTTCCTCCAGAAATAGGCTTGTCACCCTATGGTGAAAATGAACGAAATACTGTATAGGGGGAAAATAACTCGCGGTGTTAATATTCGCTATAATCACGGTGTTAATGAATCCGTGAATTCAAGAAACAGTGAATAAGTTTTCAATATGTATAGATAAGGGAGGAAACTTTTCTTACATACCAATTCCGCGAATTCAAGAAACCGCGACAGTGTCAGAGAAGAGAAAAACGCGAAAATTACAAACCGTGAAATTAATCCCCTATACAGTAGTCTTGATATGCACACCTTTATAAGATAAGATGATTATTCTCCAAATCAGAAAAGCACTTTTTGTTAGTGCTTGGAGCTTCCTTAAGGTCAAGATCTAGTATATTTTGGACACTTTAAGGCCTATGATCATCAAACTTTGTCAGTTGATGCATCTTGGGTCCTTAAACAATGTGAAATTGAAAGAAGGTCATGGTGACCTACTTTTTGCATTTTATGGCTTTTATCTTCTTCATGCAGTATTTCAGATGAGAGGTTTACAATCATCAAACCTTGTAAACTGATGCATCTTGGGGCCTTAAAACTTTTTTATTTATAAGTAGGTCACATTGACCTACTTTTAAAATTTAGCAGGCATTGGTTTTCAAATTGTTAAAAAAATGGCAGCTTTTGAAGACTTACAGACCTATGATCATCAAACTTTGTCAATTGATGCATCTTGGGTTCTTGGAGAAGGTCAACCAAAAAGTATGTCACTGTGACCTACTTTTGACATTTTATGGCTATATTTCAATATCTATATATTATTTATATGTACAGGATACTTAGAGGCTTTGAAAAGAAGTGATGAATTGTACAATTTATTAGAAAACCAACTCAAGGCCTTTTGTTTTCTAAGAAAACATTGTACAGCTGCAGAACTGAAGCTCTCTGATTTACCTCTTTGAATTTACTCAAGCAGAGAGATATAATTCTGCAAATAAATTTTGATGAAAAATATAGAACAACATAAAGTGTAATATTCTTTATCTGGGTTAAGATAAATTTCAATGTACAAATATTCATCTGTCTTATAACAAAGAAACAAAAACAAGGACTGTATATTATGTCTTTTAAAAGATGTTCTGAACAAGCAGATACATTAACAAAACAAAGATGAATGAGGCAAAGGTACTTGTGACTCTTATGAAAAAGACAATGTTTTTGAAATGTCTTTAAAATACATGTAATATAAATATATGAACAGTGCATAATGAACTGCATGCAACACTTGCATGTATATATACAACATCTGATTTGCATAAAAATTCAAATACAATTGCACTATATGAATATGTGGTTTAGAACTTTACCAGTTCTTCACTTCTACAATGACATGAATGAACACCATTCAACCAAATTCTTTCTTGTCTCTTTGAAACACAGAAGATGTTATAAATAGCAGGACATTTTAAATGACATTCTGTAAGCTATGATTGGCAAAAACAGGACTGACTCAATCCATACAGGAGACCAGCTAGAACTATGAAACTTACATCTAAATTACAATTTATAGATGTAACACTCTATTTGTAATATTCTAGATGTAATATGTCTTGATTAAACAGGACCCTCACCAGACTACCATACTCAGATTCTCACAGTTTACAGACATCCATCAATCGTTCACAATGTTTATATCACAGCTAGTCTAGTTCTTACTCTGATAATGTGTTTACATTTGGTTTCAGATGATAAAATCACTGAGGATAACTCTTCATGTTGAGGTTTGGATCAGGAATCACTGGGGCTAACCCCTAACTGTTGGGTGAGTGTGAGTTACTGGAGACAGGGGAAGGGTTCTTCAATCTCTTCTGTAGAGGTTTGTCGTAGACCCAGTGTTCTCCAACTTCATGAAAATTCTACAGAAAACAGGATACATGAACATAAATAATGTTTTAATTATACCATTATATTTACATTTGCAATTGTTTTCCTTTATATAACACTACTGAAGGCAAGCGTTTTTATAACTGTATAAATACAGGTATGGGGTCATAGATGTGCGTTTGGATAAACGTTCGACGTAATTTCTCTGTGACGTCATAAAGGGTCGAAGCGCGTTTAGTGGATAACATACATGCCGTTGGGTTTGAAAAAATTAACGCATTTCACGCGTTAAAAGTCACAATCACGCAAATATAAAGTCTGAATAAGTCACAAATGTAAATATAAGTAATAAGGTATCATTTTTTGAGTTTTACTGAGATGTAAAACGGGTTGGCACATGATCAAATCTTCCATAAAGCCCTTCGGGCTTTATGGGATTTGTTCACGTGACCAACCCGTTTTACATCTCAATAAAACTCAAAAAATGATACCTTATTTCTTAATTAAACACATACATGGACAGTATTTTATTTTAGCCTACACTTTGTGCATTTCTACAAAATTTCTCTCTGTGTTACATGTATATTTCAAGAATTTTCCAATCTAAATCATGTCTTGATATTTTCTAGAACCACTATATACAAGATTTAAACTACTGATAATCCATACCCATTACAACACTTTATATTCATTTGTGATTTGTATGTTATAAAGTTTCTCCGCCTCCTCCAATGTAACTATTAAGATATGTACGGTAAATTAAATAGGTACTTAATTAAATACTTAAATTTTTTCTATAAATTTAATATCAATGTTAGATTTGACTTTCATATAAATATGGTTCATGACACAATCCCCAAATAGCCCCGCCCACCTTGGTTTCCCAGGCCACGCCCCTTTCCTTCCTGTCCCGCGCCTCCTCTCTCTGTCTCTGTTCTAGTCTCTGTTTGAATTCTGTAGCTTTATCTACTTCATTATACTTCAGGCTGTAAGTCACGTCCTGCCATAGCCTTCAAATATAAAAGATAAAATTTGTGGCTTTATCCACCTCAATATAATCACGTCCTGCCATAGCCATCAAATAAAAAAAATAAAGTCTGTAGTCTTATCTACTCATTATATACTTCAGACTGTAAGTCACATCATGCCAAAGCCTTCAAAACATGAGAGAAAAAAATCTGTACAGGACTGACAGGAAATCAACAGGTGTCTGTCTGTCTGTGTATTCGCTAAATAAATGACTTCTCTTTGTGATTCTTATTGATAATGGATTTACCTATGTACATGTACATTTACAGTGACACTGTATGTCTTTGTGTTCAATGTGGACATCAGCTAGATGTCTGTCTGTGTGCTTTGTTGAGATCTCTTTGTGCCATGAAGACACCATTTGTTTTCTTTCTGGGTGCTTTGTAATCTGTCTTGTTATTGTATTTTCTGTGCCACCTAGACACCATGTCTTTCTTCTCACTCTCTGAGTGCTTTGTCATAGTGCTTCATAATTTTTAGAACATGTAAACAACATCTTCTTTTCTGTGAATTTTTCTTAAAGTTTGTAGTTAGTGGTTTAATGCTTGTCTTGGCAACTTGAAATAATCAGAAATACATTTATAGCCATGTTTATGATAATAATATATTGCTTACAGTTACAATGATAGTAGATTGTAATTTCAGACATGAAGATCATTACCTTCTGGACTCGAACTCTCCTTGTTTCTCCCTCGGCTTCACGAGTTTCTTCACCACAGGCATTCTCTTAGTGTCCACAAACACCTCGTTCATCTGAAGTAAAATATAGGGATACTGTGAAATCGCTTATTTCAATGGGGGGTTAATTTTCATATGCTTTACTTACTAAACATTCTCTTACCACAAAATCACCCCCCCAACCAATTTTTTTTCTCAAACCTTGAAAAAATTGACCCCACGAAAATATGTGATTTTACAGTATAAACACCTCATTCATTTGATGAAAAATCAAGTGATATAAACGACTCAATTCACATATACCATATTACGTTTGTAGTGCATGTAGTAATAAAGTGCTGACATTATCAGATTTAAAGGGTCTTGTACATGCGCATGGCATATCTAACTTATTGAGTGACACAAACTATGATGAGATTAATTGCTCACGTACCCCGGTGGCATGTTTAGCATACATGACTCCATTCCATTCCCCATCAATAGTCACCAGGGGTTTCTTTTCATTGGGAGCAAAAATTTCGCTGGTCACCCGATGCTTCTTTCCTCCATAGAAAGGCTAGATAAAGAAGTGAACGTGGAAGATAAAATCATTCACTTAAACATCACAATACGTACATTACAGTTGATCGTGTACTCATCATACAAATATGAAGAATAAGTTACATTTTACCTGGGAAAAAATATTTGATTAGCCTAACCTTAGTGTGGAAAGTGACTGTAGCATTGTATCCTGTTTTAGCACACGACATAGACACCTTACCCCCCATCTCCACCCAGGGGGTCGTCAATATTGACCTAGATAAACAGAAATAGACTAAATGATCAACAGAAAAAATAAATGCGGTTACCCTTGACCTTGTGCACAGAAATATTCAAATATAAGGGGATGCTTAGGATGTACTGTAAACCAACTACTATTCATGTGCAAGAAATATCCTTGAGTTCCGCTAACTACTTTTACTCACGAATATTAATCTCCACAATCCAATCATTTTGCTTAATACTTGTAGAAAATGTTTTCTCAGTCTCAAAATTTAATCATCGCAGATCAAATTCAAAGTTACAATTATCAAATAAAAGATGATCCAAATAATAATTGGTTTACAAGTACTTAGTGTACACAAATAATCTAATCAATATACCAATGGGGAGGCCTGGATTGAACTAACGAGCAGAAATAGTCAAATCAATCATATATGTTGTCGGGTGAAACACAATATAGGGCGCATTTAGAATACCATATTGTTATACATGATTTTAAGAAATGTTATTTTCTTTACATGCAATTTATTGTAATTCATTTATAGGAATACTTATAAAGGACTTGTGTGCTAAATTTTGTTGATCTAGCCTTAACAGAATTTAAGTAAATGCAAAAAATGTACCCCCAAAATGACTATTTTTCAGCGTTATGCGGTTGCGCTTTGAAATTACAGCATTTTTCAATTGAAATAATTGTTAAATATCATAAATTTTCATGCCAATGATCATTATCAGACTTTAGAATTTATTTTACAAATTATTTTGGTGCTTGAATTTTCAGAATTGAATAACAACTTTTGAAGATATGAAAGAAAATGTAACAGGGGTGCAATATTGTTATACATTTTTCACATAATTTTACCCCTCTCATTATACCAAATAAAAATAATGTCCATGTTATTTAATTTTTCAGATTTCTGTCTAAAATCACAGTATTAATGCTCTGTTACTTACAGAAAAAAAGTTGGGTTATGTAAACATTGTAAAGAAATTTCATCATGTTTTAATGTGGAAAATTAAGTTTTTACAAAAAACTGTAGTGTCCGTAACCACTTAAATTCTGTGAAATTGGAAGGCTCTATAAATATCTTAACAAATTTCCTAGAGAGGCATTTCATATAGATGCTGAGATGTGTTGTAATTTTCCTGATCATCACCACTGTTTCTCTGTTATGATCACAAATGTGGTTACGGACACTACAAAATCCTGTAGTGTCCGTAACCTGTACTTGAGGCAGTTTGAAACAGGCTGTGTTAAAACACTAATGCTAGTATATTCACAAAGGTCAGAGGTTTGTTTAACAAGTTAATCAATGTACTTTATTTTCTTTCTCATTTTGATAATGCAACTAATTTGGGAAACCCAGATTGCACCATTCTATATACAAGATCCTTGGTGTTACATCACTTTGATATTGGCAGATGTTATTGACATCCTAGGATTTAAGTCAAATAGCATTTCATTATTTTTTCATTGTTTAAGTCAACTGGTGTTACATTGAAGAAAATCTTGTTAGAATTCCTCTATCTAAGGTTAAGTTTTATCCTATTTTAAATAACTTTTATAGTGTAGTGTCCGTAACCCAAAAGTTGAAAAATGAATATCTTCATTTTTTTCTCCATAAAATTTATAGATAAATTTTTGAACCAGTGTATTATTAAATTTAGAGATAAAAAAGTGTTTATTGGCTGGAATTCTTTTAGATTAGGTGGTTTTTTCTTTACTGCTAGTACTTAAAATAATGACTGGACACCCAAAATGACATAAAAATAGTTAAAAATTATTATCATGAGTTACATAATCCAATTATTTCTTGTAATATATTGCTTCAATTGTCTAGTTGCTTATTAGGTAATATCTCAAAATGCAAGTAAATTTGCATTCAAAATGTTAAACAGTAGGGAAGTAATTTGGTTACGGACACTATAAAAAAATTCAAAAAAGAAAACAACTAAAATTACACCGATTTCAGATAAATTATTGTATATTTAACTGTTTGAAGAAAAACAGAATGCTTCATAGAATAAAAAAAATAAATTAAAGAAATAAAAGTGAGCTTTACTCCACAAGGTTTGACTTTTCTACTTGCAAATAACACCTATATAAAGTTACATGTGTATATATTTATTCAAAGTATATTGGTTATATGGTATGCTTTTATCAGATGAAGTTGAGATCCGAAGAATAAAAAAAATTGGGAGAAACAGAAACGACAAATAAAATCCTGAAAAAAGTTATGAAAAGGGCTGAAAAACAAAAACTTCCTCCTCAAGCCTGTGAAAAATTTAAGTATTGTGTAGTGTCCGTAACCCTTAAATTTGGTTAATTGACTTCGTTGATCAGTGCACCTATATTCTAAATAGTTTTCATAAAACTTTAATGAATTAGAGAACTTTTCTTCTGCACTTCAGTTATAAAGTTATGTGAAAAAAGGAAGTTTCAGGATTTCTTAAACTGGATTTTTTTTTACTATTGGCATTACTTCTGCGAGTGAATTGTTTTTACTTGAAACAATATCTAATTTTCATGCATTTTGTATTTAATAATCATTTAAATCTGATTTCTAATAGTTCAGAAGTTTATAAAATGTTTTTTTTAACCACAAAGCAAAAGCCAATCATAAATATTTGGGTCTTGTAGTGTCCGTAACTTAATGAAGCTATCAAATTATTTTAGAAAATAATAAAAATGATATTTCCTATTTTAATGGAAGTATTTATATTTCAACAAAGGCATAAAAAATGTTATTTATAAATAGTTCTTTCTTTATTCATATTGGTTTTAAAGAGTTCACATAAATTGAAATACTACCATTTTCAACAAAAATGAACGAAGTAAGAACTGTTTTTATTTTGAAGTATAATGCAGCCTTTTTTGTACAACTTTTGTCCATATTTTGTATTTTTATATGTTGTTTGTTTGTGAGCAGTTCAAAAAATTAAAGTTTATAAGCAGTTTTCAATATTTATTTCAAAAACAACAACACTTGTAGTGTCTGTAACCTGTGTAAATGAGGTTATTATCAGCTTGTAAAAAACAAAGTTCTAATGTGAATTTCACAAAACCTTTTATGTTTCAGATCCTTGAGATAATCTACTTTTTAGAAAAAAAATTTTTGGGCCAAAATAAAGACATTAATTTTTTATCCTCAAGTGCAACCTTACTGTCCCCTTTATTGTGTTTCACCCGTGTACATATATACAGGGCAACATTTTTTTTTAGGTCTGGAAATGTTTTCACACACAATGCAAAATGGTATAGAGAGAAATATCATATGCATTTATACAAAAAAATTCAACCAGCATTACAAAATTCTCCTTGATTTTTTCTTCTAAATAATAATAAACATTATTAAAAGCTGTGGTTTACTGATACTCACCGACCATAGCCGTTAGGGAATGTAATGACGTATTCTTCATCATGATCGATCACAGACACCACTCCCTGCCCGATCATGTGAACACCTATTGACAACCCCAGGAACTTTGACTTGGTCCAAATATAGCCATCTAATGTTATTCTTTTAGACTTGTGTTCTGCATAAAATGCTGATACTGGAAATAAAAATCATATTAAAATGAAAAATTGTACTTTTGATCATTTGATGATCTCCATATTTTCTCCCTTTTTTACATAATTTTTTTAACAGAAACAGACAGTTCCATGTTCTATATAGATCTGTCAGCTTCTGTAAAGAATTAACTTACAATCTCAACAAAACTTACAAAGGGGGGAGGAAAGATAAACAAGTAAAACCTCATCAAACCTTTCTAGAGGGGGATGATAAAAAATTTCATGAACAACTTAATACTTGGAGGGTGACGAGACACCTGTTCTGCTACAAAGGCCAGGTTGTTATTGGTAAGTACTGAATTAAAACTTACTAGGGGGGTGATGAGACACCTGCTCTGCTACAAAGGCCAGGTTGTTATTCGTGGCTTCTTCACAAGGCCCATCTACTGCTTTCTCCTGCAAATCAAGAAAGCAAGATGTTTTTATGTTAAAATGTTCTGTTCTTGAATTGAATTGAAGCATGTTGCTTGAAAGTGTCACGTTTACTTTGAAATTCAATGCCAAGGATGCATACATGAGATTTATTTAAAAAATCCTTGAATTACTTTACAATATAATCCTGGCAATTTCATAGAGGAAATTTCTTCTTCATGATATTTAATATGTACACAGTGTTTTGGTTAGAATTTATTTAAACGTGATAATGAGTCATTAGATATTGTACAGTGTTTACCCCTTCTGACTCCATTCCTGGGATTTTCCAGTGACATTTGAACGTTTCCCCGAGGATTGGGTTGTAAGCTTTTTTGGCGATGTCGCTATTTCTGGCGGCGTGGAACGCTGACAGATACCACCTGACCAGCTGTATCATTCTGTCCTGAGGCGTCTTCATGTCTACAATTCTAATAAACGATAATAACATTAAGCACTAATTATACATGTAAAGTTCTAATTTGATTTAAATAAACTCATGAATCATACTAATAACCCATAAAAAATGAAAACAAATCACCAGTTCACAATTTTCTTCAAATTCCCAAAGCAAGGCTAGAATAAATAAAATAAAAACTATCAATATATTCAAAATTAAAAAATTATTTACTTGACAAACAGGTCTGGGTGAGCGAAGAAGTCAGCGTACATCTCGAGTAGGGATCGTCTCTCCAGTATAAACGTGGGTAGGACGACCTTTGTCAGGTCCATCCCGATCCTGACCTGGGACAACAGGTGAGCTATTATACTCCCATGTTTCTCTAACGAGCCCACTGGTAATTTAAAGAAAAGAACTGCCTTAAACCTTTTTTTCAACTTTTTAAGCTATTTTTGTGAAATCAATATCATCATCCAGAGTTTGAGGGAAATGAGAAAAATTAGAAACAATTTAAATCAAAATCTTCAATCTTGAATGCATAAAATAAGATCCAACTCAAGAAGCAATACACACAGGCACTTGATGCTACATATTTGTCTATATACAAGGTAAATAGTTTTTTATATACACAACATAATGATTTGAAATGATTATGTTCTTCAGTATTGATGTACAGATTTATCTGAGGTTCAATGAGTTAATAAAGGTTTTACTCACAATCCTCTTTATCCTGTTCATCATAGAGTTCTGAAAAAAAACATGAAAAAAATAAAATACATGTAGGAATTTGTACATATGTAACTAATATGAATAATGATACTGAGAGAGCATATTGAAAGTTTTTTGTTTAAATCAAAAAAATTAAAGAATCAAAATAACTGTGCTATCTTTGCTCCTACCCACTGCTTTACTTACTGTGCTACTCACCATCGTAATAATCATCCTCTGCTATGATCACCTGCTGACACTCCCCCCCGCCCCCTCCTCACTGATTTAGTTACTATGCTACTTACCATCGTAATAATCGTCCTCTGCTGTGATCACCTGCTGACAGTCCCTCCCGCCCCCATCATCTGTCTCCACTCCCTCTGAGTCCTCACACTCCCTGAATTCTGTAGCATTTTCTGACTTGTCCTCTGCATGTTGTCGACTGTAGTAATGTAATTAATACATGTATTACAAAACAAAGTGTGAGATTCAAAAATACTTTGTTATATAAATATGTTAATAATACTGTATGTAGTCTTCATTCCATGATGGTAAAATTTCCCAATTTCTTAAAATGTACCAATCGCAAAGGTTTTAATATCACGCTGAACGAACTTACATTTAATATGCATTTAAACATTTTTAAAACCAATGATACCTTTCACAATGGGTTTAATATCAATAAAAAATCCCGTCTATATCGCAAACACAGTTTAATGTAAACCTATTGTGATTATTTGCCAATCTACAGTACTTCATTTCTATTAATTTGCTTTTTTAGATATGTTAATGTATCACTAAATATTACATGTATTACAAAACAAAGTGTGAGATTCAAAAATACTTTGTTATATAAATATGTTAATAAATGTCTTTCCTATTATGCTATTACAATGATGGTAAAACCCAATTTCTTAAAATGTACCAATCGCAAATGTTTTAATATCAAGGTCGACGAACTTACATTTAATATGCATTTAAACATTTTTAAAACCAATGATACCTTTCACAATGGGTTTAATATCAAGAAAAAATAACGAATCGCAAACACAGTTTAATTAAACCTATTGTGATTATTTGCCAATCTACAGTACTTCATTTCTATTAATTTGCTTTTTTAGATATGTAAATGTATCACTAAATATTATCACTTTAAGTTGAGAAACAAAACCAACAGAATAATATAAATGAGATATTTTCTTTGATATGAACAGCATTAAAATGATATTTTCTTAACTCTCAATACTTACAGAGGACTGGAAGACGCGTGTTTGAATTCTTCAGCTTCAAAAAATTCTTCATCCTCGCTACTTGAGTATGAGGTTTATTAACACGTGGAGAATATAGGGGAAGTAACACCGGAGGATTTTCTGCTTACTGTACACAAGTTTTTCAAAAATTATAGTGACTAAGACACACCTACTTAAGTGTCAATCATATGTCAAATACTCAGCGTTTTCCCTTTATTTCAAAGTAAAGGGCTAGATATCATTTGCAACAGGCTAGGGGGCTGAAGGTTTATGAACAAAATCCCTGAAGGACCTTACAACAAATTTTATTTCAAAGGGGTACTTTGTCAATTGAAGCGGTCAATTTGGCTGGTAGTGGGTTCTTAGGGAAACCACTGAATACTAATCAGACACACCCACTTAGGTGTCAATCAATAGTTTAAAATCACAAACCCTCTTAACTTCTACTGACATTCATTGACTATTTATTTTTAAGATGATGGTAGAAACTTGCCTCATCTCATTGGCCCATCTTCGTTTGTTTACTTAATCATTTCACTTTTAAAAATACATTTAAAGTAAATTATTGGAACACAACAAAATAAAAGCATACATTTGTAGAGATATATATAACTGTGCCTGGAGTAATACTTAGTGTTTTTTAATGTTGCACAAGCCTAGAAGAGACATCTTGCAAGCTTTTATACAAAAGCATAACAAAGTATATGAAGCCCTATATAAATCTTGCAGTTGATGATTTTTTTTAAGCACAATATTATGTTACATTTAGCTATTAGTTACAAAAAAGGGTTCTCAAGTGTGTGATTTGTATAATTGATTGCATCTGTTATGATACAGTTAACAAACTTCAATACATGTACAACAATATAAAATGCCAAACAAAGATCCAAGTAATTCTGGAAAATAAACATTCCTCATTAAATATTAGGGGTACATGTTTTAACATATTAGTAAATAAGTAAGACAAAGCTTTCACTGTATAAAAAGATAACAGAAAATCTAATGCTAATGGAAGCACCTTACAAAACCAAGAATAAACTAAATAAACCATAATTCTAAAACTCAGGAGCCAAACAAGCTCTCATGCAGTCTACAGAACAGTTGCTAAGCAACAAGAGACAACTGGAGCATGCAGATGACATTGTTTGACCTTGGCCTACCGACTGAGATGGGTGTGTCCAAACATGGTGGGGTTACCATGACAACATCAGGCACACGGAGCTCTGTGGGTCGCCTGTTCGGACCTGAAAATTTCTTCTTCATTTCTTATTCTGTCAGTTATCAGTTAACATATATATCATCTGAGGATATTTTTTGGGGACTGATGTTTGACTTTTATTGTACTGCTACAGTTTTCAAACTAGACTGTGATTGTTCTCATAAAAAAACATCCCTCAAAATACTGTATAAGCAGAACTTTTAGTGAAGATTTAATTTTGGCATTATAAGTGATGGTGCTTCATGAGATTGCTAAAATTGAATATATCACTAAAAATTAATTGAAAATGTGTTTTACTTGTAATAGCTTCTTAAGTGAGCATTTAAAACCCAGTCAAATTACTTCTCAAAAAAAATTTACTACAGCTGTACCAATTTTTAAGGACAAATCACTAAACTTAGGTCTTGCTAAAATTTCCACTTATACAGTACTTCATGCCTTCTGAAATTAACCACTATTCTCTCTAATTAATTAAATCTTACATTACTCGGATTCCTGAATGAAGTACATCATACCTTCAAGCTAAATTCAGGGTTTTCTTTCAATAAAATCTCTATTTAAACAAAAAATTAATAAAAAAGTTATAAGATCTATGGAGAAAAGACATAGTTGTAGATCTAACTATCAATGAGAGAGACTAATCTGCCCACCATTGTGACTTTAAGCACTGAGACCAGGATATATCTACCCACTCCCCTGACTCCTGTGCGTTTCTGCCTTAATTACCTGAGTTGACTCCTGTAGCACCAAAATGATTGAAGTCTGCCCCTGTCGTGAGGATCGCTTCGTGTACAGAACCGTTCATAACCGGCCCATTCAGACTCTCCTGAAAACAGCAAGGAAATACCTGATCAAATTCAAAGTTAATGAAAATATCTTTAGTCAAACAAATCCTGAGCTGCTACTAGTATGACAGTAACCGAATTTTATGAATTTTGCATACCGGTAGTAAGGATAGTGTGAAAGTAACATAATTTTATGAATTTTGCACAATAAGGGTGAGATTTATAGTTTGGTTAGCTTTCCATTAATCAGAATGAGTAGCTTTCTGTACCTTAGATATCTGCAGCATGACGATGGAATGTTTAATAGCCTCTATCATAGCCTGCAAAGATAAATTTCAATAGATACATAAATTTCTTATACATATTTTCTAGTCTGAGGCAGTTACACTTTCCTTCACTGAAGAAAATAGATATTTGTTCAAAGCATTTAATAAATAAAGTAATAGTTCCAGATGATTCCTCTGTTACAAGTTTTGGAATACCGTACCACAGCAGTAATTTTTACCTCAGGATTTAATTTTGGCATTATTCTCGAGGGTGCTGACAACGCTAAAATTTAATATTGCTGAAAAAAAAATAATTCAACTACGGACACAACAATCTCATTACTCACTCAACAATCTCATTTGTAAAATCGTCTTTACTTATTCAGCATTTTAAAATCGCTAAAATTACTTATCGCTAAAATTACAATTCTATTATTTTAGGTAGAAATCGCGTAAATTTAGCAATTTGTCCTTAAAAAATTTCCATTTGTACGGTAAAAATCTAAAAACAGTTTTCAGTAAATTTGCTTTCAGCAGTGACTTTGATCACGACCTGAACCTGGTTCATGATTTGGAGGCGGCCAAATCCTCACACGCCTCAATTCTTGTCTCCAGGGCCTGAAAATAAACAAAATCTGACTCATGTTTTAATGTCACTTGATATACAATCTCATGATTGACTTGTAAAACAAGTAGGAAATATTTTGTTGAATGTAAATGATACACATGAGCATGTTTCATGAGAATTTCACTTGAAAATAAGATTTGCTTGAAATTTAATTTTATATCATTATTTCACTTGCCTGTGTATTTCTGATGTGTGTAATTATAATAACCTGAACCTGGTCTAACATGATTTGGAGGTAGGCGTATTTTACCTTGCCCACATCCTCGGCAGTCAGTATTTTACCTTGAACTGCCACACTGAGAATCAAAATAAAAGTAAAGGCTGTACATTTTAATGGTGTCACTTGATTCAGCTGTCATCTCATTTGATAGAAAACAATACAGAGTATTTTGTTGAATGTCTCATCTGATATACTTCCAAATGTGTCTTGCATGAAATTTAATTTTATGAAGAAAAATGTGTATTTTGACCATACTATGTGTATGTATAATTAGTAACTGTCTTTCAGTATTTTACCTTGCCCACACTGGAATGTCTTAGTATGGTATTCTCCAGAGCATTGACCCACTTTTCTCTTTCCTCTGCATCACGAGCTAAAAGTACAACAATCAAAATATTCAAAAAACCTGTGACCTGCAAATCAATAACAAAGCTGACCAGTTTTAAGCAAGATGTAAATTAAATCTGATCTTGTAGGAGAAAACAAAAGAAACCTTGAAAATGGAAGGTCTTCTGATCAACAGTAATGGTGAATGTACTGTCGTCTTCATCATCAATCCCAATTATAGCTCCCTGAAATGACAAGTAAACATTCAACCTTTGTATCTGATGATCAATTTATCTGCTTGGGCAATTTTTTCTTTCCGATTATTCCAGAAAACTCTACATGAAATGACTTTAACATACCTATGATAAAAATTTCTGTGATTTTTTTCAATTGTACTCACCACCAGCCTGACACAACCCCTCCTTGTGCCTCTCATCATCTTTTCTTTTGACTTCAATGAAACCATATATTCAAAATTAGTACATAATAATATTGTAATGAAATATTTATAGCATGAATATATTGTAATGGTGGGGCATGAAGAGCCAGTGAAGCTAGTGGCACTGCAAGTCTTATGGTAATGCCTGGGAGAAAAGGAAGTTTAAATTTATTTACACATTGATCTCATCTTATTTGCAAGATCATAATTCAGTTTCAAAGGCATTTCGTTGATTTGTTACATGGAATAATGGCTAAGACTAAAAAAAAACACAGAGTGCCACTGCCAAGTTGTGCTTCATTGATAATTATTTTTTGTTGATATTTTCAAATCAATGAAAAAACAATATTAATTTTTTCAGAGAACAATTAAGGTTAAAAGCCTCTTTTGAAAATGTAATTTTACAACTAAGCTTTTAAGCATAGAATTTAATTTGGGATCAAAAGCCTCATATTTAAAATTTTTTTTTTAAATATAAGCTCAGGGTTCTCCATAAGCTGTTTTACTATGTTGCTCCAGACACAGTAAAATTTTCTCTGACACAGTAACGATTCAGATTTTATGCGTGTGACACAGTAAAAATTTTGCCGACACAGTAAAATCTGTGATAATTAGAAAATCTAAACATGTAAAGTTCTCTAACTAAATCTTTAATCAAACACTTCTATCGTCTTTCAATTCTAAACGGTGGAGCACTTAATTACAAGGGCTTTACCTTGCTAATCAATTATCTCCTAAACCCTTGCCGGACTTAACGCACCAGGGAACACAGACAAATAATCTGTTTTCACACTTTCATAATGGTTAATTGGTAGTTGCAAAAAATACACTGTATTATTTTTGAAAAAAAATATTTAAATATGTCTTTTCTATAGAGCCATGGCTCTAGAATTATGTTACATGTACATGTAGCAATGGCAGACAAACATAACATCGTACCGAAGTCATTTCATTGATGTAAATAAATTGCTTTAAATTTTCAACATGTTCAAGGAACTCTTAAAAGTATTTTACCATTCTGAAGTTCGGTAATTCCAGTCTTCGCCAAATCTTTTTTTCAGCACATGCCCTTCGGGCAGGTGTGATCACTAATTACGCTAGCCCGAAGAAACATGCCCAAAATTTAAGCAAGTTATATTATTCTTATTTGCCTTTTCATGCAAATTTATTGTCTCGCCATTTGTTTTCAACCTGGACACTTTTTGTGTCTCAGACCTTTGCAGAAGAGTTCCTTGGAAATTGCGGTAAAATAAACTGTCAGTAAAATTTTATTTTGTACTTCACTTTAAATGGAAAATCAAAGACTTTAAAGTACAATTGATGTTATTAGTCATATTTAATTTGATTATATCGAGGCTTATGCCTTAGAATTTACATGCCCTTCGGGCTTGTACCGGTAGTTGTGCAATTTCCACATGCCCGCTTCCAATTTTACCAGGTCCCGGGCATCGGACTCCCGGGATTTGTCGAAGACTGTAATTCGATCAAGACAACAGACAAGTTATCACGGCAAATTTACTCTCAAAAATATTAAGTACAAGTAGTTCAACAGTATTTACCAGAATTCCCTCTGCTTTTCTGAACATGTCTTTTTACTTTTATCAATATGTAAAACCATACCATTTGTGTAACGGATTATCAATTTTTGAAAAGTGTGTACATGTATTCTTTTGTAATTATAATGAATAGTGATTCAGTTGCGAATTTAACTGCGAAAATATCGCGAAATTTTAGTGTTTCGCGTAAACTCTGCAACACAGTAACATTTCAAATGATGAAGAACCCTGTAAGCTCACAATAGCTAGAATGTTAGAATGATAAATGTCTTACGGACCAGGTTTAATGGTTTTGTTCCGTGTATTCGCAATGTAGAAAAAGAAACACGGGGGATAACTCGTACTCAGTGCATTTACTACGAACAATCCAGAGAGTTCCGAATGCAAGCATGGTGTGTAAAGTTGAAGCGAGAAGAAAAGTTGAGAAAATTCTTTAAATTTCCGTCTAATTGGATTACATTTTAGGTTTAAAGGCAAACATAACATCAAAAAGGTTTGTTATAATTAATTTGGAAGTTATTTCCACTGCAACTCCCTTTGTACGTATGTTGTATTCTTCAAATTCATTTTGGAGCGATTCCGCATGCATTTGCTACATTGGGAGTATATGGGTGGTATTCTAACTGAAACTTTTGTGAGGGCTTGTCTCGAGAAGACAGATTATTCTACCTAAGCTCTGCCTCACAAGATCTCATATATAGTGAAGTCGCCTTTGGCGACACTATTATTTGGAGTATTTCTCTTTGGACCAGTAAAGTAAAGTTGCTCCTCTATAAATGCTACAAAATATTTTGCTTCAAATAAATGCTTTGCTGTTTATTTTGATATGCACTGTGACTGACACATGAGTTTGATGGATTTCTGCTTTTGACTTACGGTAAAATACGACAGAAGGCCAGCAGTCTCGTCCAGAACGAACCATCTATACTGCCATCCTTTCATCACATTTGTCCATTTACTCAGGGGCCCTTCTACGACAGCCATGTCTCAAATCTGACACTACACTCACTGCAGTCGCAGCAGTGACAGTCGTAAGAAAGTACCGGAAGTGGGCAGGTGTCGGTGAAAGGAAAAATAACTCGTACAATAAACAAGTCGAATGAAATGATAAATGAAAATTTGATCATTGCATAGTTTTCAAATGATGAATATCCATTAATTGTTTTAAAATAATACCTTTACAAAAATATTTTGAAATTTATTAAAATCAAAACACAGATATAGCAAATATTTTAAAGTACAACTTATCTAGCACCTGCAGAAAACCTTAACCAATCAAATGGTTTGTGTCCGGAAGGCAGAATTTTTGAAATACCAAAATGTTGATATTATTGCGATAGTGACAAAGAAGAAGAAATGGCCCAGCCTGGAAACGGTCGAGAAAACCCTATCACAGGGCCTTATAGGGCGACCAAACTGGTATTGTTTAGATTTCAATGTTCTTCATGTTTGTTTCTTTATGTGACAGAGGTGGCATGTGTTTTCTGCTTACTGCTTTGTTTACATTAGCCTATTTGTAAGTCTGCAGAAAGACAGTATGACATGAAGTGTATAATCTCAAATATCACTGTAGAGAGTTGCAATAAAAGTAAACTGAAAGTATTATTTAACATGTTTGATACTAATTATCATTTTGTCAAAAAAATAAACAGACGTATACAACATAAAAGGCACCCTTTCTAAAATACCAATTTAATTAAAAGTTGAGATGTGTTTCCTGATGATTATCATAATTATGAAATGTTAAAATTATTTTAGTGGAATGAAGTGATCTGTGCATTTCGACAAGGCGTTCCTGCAGGTCGACATCGTCGATACATGAAGACTTACGAAAAGTGTTTCACTGCAACAGAAGCTGTAGACTGGTTGCATAATTATCTGAAGTCAAATTGCAACTTCGCATCAGAGGTGACAAGGTAAAGTTTCTGGTAGCATAGAATCTACTCTCTCAAAACCTACATTGTCTCTGACATTGACAAGAAGAATTTCTGTAATCCAATGTGTGCAAGCAAAGTTCTTGAAATTATTTTTCAAGTTTCAGAAACTTGTACTGACACTTCTACTTTTATTTTTGGTCCAATCCAAATTATATACATATTAATTCTCAACTGAATTCCACATGTTCAGGTTTCATCTCACTAATTTATTCAAGCATTTAACATATCCTTTGAATATACTTCTTTCATTTGGTCACATTCTCTTTGTGCCCAATCGTCTCTCCTGAATACCTCTCTATAAACATCTAATTTCCTCCTCCTCTCTCATTCCATCTCTAACCTCCATAAAAAGTCATTATTGTCTAAGTCTGCTGAATGTTTTTCTTCTTCCCTTTCCTTTGATGTCTCACTGTTGCCCGATAAAAGAAAACTTTTGATATTGTTATTTAGTTTATAGATTACTAATCCTGATTTTTCTATCAGGGGCCAGACACTACAGCTTCTTCAGAAACTGCACCGAGCACGTGTCATCGAGGACGTGAGAGGGGTGAAACACAACCAACAGGACATCTCTGATAACGGCCGGCTACTCAGGTGAGTTTACACTCAACAGCTGCCTCCACTGACATCAATCCTGTTTTGATTCTTCTCCCCCATAAATTATACACATTAACTCAGATTGAATGAATATAAACCCCATCCCACCCCACTGATTCCTTTATCATAAATGATAAAAAAAACAGCTATCAGTTTAAGTTTAATGTTTTTAGATGTAAAGTTCCCTCCCCTGCCAAGATCATCAGAACACCCTTAAGGATCAGGAATGACATCATCAACACAACAGCAGCACCCTCTGTAGGACCAATCAAATTAGATCTGGACCTCCAGTTAGAGACACGCCCAGATATCCCAGAATGCCATATTGTGGCCAAAGAACTGTCTGCCACTGAAACGGAGAACATCTGGAAAAACGTGACGTTAGACAAGTATGTGAAGTAAAAATAATTATCTAATCACTGGAGTCAGTCATTCAGATTGATTTTTTTGTTTCAATATATACACATGATACATTGTATTCAATCAAAATAATCCACATGTTTTATGGGATCATCTACTAAAATTGGTCAAATTAATTTCATTGTCTGATTGAGAAATGACAGAAGGAGATCTACTTAATAATTAGTGTGATGATATATATTTATTTATATAGCTTGAACAATGATATAAGTCTAAGAAAACGCACACGTTACCAGTGAACTGATTAGATTGGATAACTAACTGTGTTAAATGTTTGACAGATTACAGCAGGTGCTACACATGGAGAATCTAGAGGACATTCTGGATAGCAGTCTAGTGGTGGGGAAGAACATCCTCCATAACTGTGTGTACATCAATAAAAGTGGAATAGTCACCAACATTCCTCAGAAAGGTAAACCATCCCATCTATCTAAATTAAGTCCATCATCACACTCACCCAACTGTGTACATCAATAAATTAGAATACTCACGAGCCTCCTATCCCCATCCCCCCCCCCCCCCACACACACACACACACCCACACACATATTCTATGTGAATGTTGATGATGAATTACTAAGGGGACTGTTGATCCACAGTTTTTCCATGTATTTCAATAGTATAATTATAAAATCAAACCATTTTATTTCCTGAGTGATGTTGGAGTAAAATCCTCACATATTTAGGAATTAACAGTAGTGAAGAGTGACAATATTGCATATTATATGTTACCTGAAATTGTAAGATGTAAGTGTCGTTTTTTTCTTTAATTAAATGTACACTATCTACATTTCTATCTATTACAACAGATCAGCTACCACACTGGGCCCTGTCTGCTATGAAGTGTCTGGCTCACTGTAAGTTGACTATATATCTGATTTCATTTCATTCATTTAATATACATTTGTCTGTGTACTAGTAGTATTACACAGTCAAGCTATATAACAGGCATGGCTGTCTCTGCTGTCAAAGCTTGTGGGAAGGTGCAATTTCCAATTTAACTGAAAAATCTTACCTGGAGAAGAATTGCATGAATAATGCATATCAAGATTCATGCTATAAACAGATAAAGTTTCCTCAAGATTCTGCATTTAAACCTTTTTTTTTTTAACATTGAAAAAAATTTATATAAATATGTGATCAGATCAAACTATGTCTGAATATTGTAATGTTGCGAGTGTTTGTTGTTATTTTAAGGGCCACAAAAAGTGGACGACCTTCCTAGTTACCCCGGCTTTGAGCGTGATGTTTTCCGAGTGGTTAAGGAGTACTTCTGTGGCCTTGACGAACCTCTGATGACCTTTGAAATGTATGAGGTCGTCTTAAATGTTTTCAGTGAGTATCACTATTCATTTTTAAATACTCTGATATTCTGTAATCAAGACAAAGTTGCTTTTGAAATAAACATACAGGATTATTTTACATAATTATCTTGCAGAATAATGTGTTAATCTGATTGGTTTAGAGCATATCTAGGGCAAAGAGACAATTTTTTTGTCTTCCTCATGTGCAAGGTGACAACTGTGCTTTGTGCCCCTTCAGATGACATTGAAATACAGCAAGCAAGCACGGTTACAACTGTGTTGTCTCCCTTTAGAAGAAAATAAATGTGGGAGAAAACATATATCTGCAATTGTTAAAACCAATTTTTAAAACATTTTTTAATTTCTGTTGTAGTTGTAGCTGATGGCTCGTACCAGCTTCTTCCAGCCACCCCAACATCCCCTGATGCTATGACCTCATTTGAGTCGGTAGAAAACCTGCTGCTGGATCTTACAAACACCAGATCTGGGTCGTGTAGTGGCCCCCCAGAAATGGACCACACCCCTCTCTGTAGAAAGAGGAGTGCCCCCTCCCTAGACCTTTCCCCTATCCACCCCATCCCTGACCATGAGAAAGTTACGAACTATGAGACAGCGTTTGGTCCAGATAACAGGACTGTGACTCGTGTTTATTACAGAAACGGTGTAGCCATGGACTACAGTAACTGTGAGGAGACGGAAGTGTTTGGTCCTATTGAGACTCACTTTGAAAGTTCCGAGCCTCTACAAGTGCCAAAGTTCACCGAATGTCAGACGTACGACGTCAACTACGCTCGAATCCGCCCCGTCACTCGGAGAAAAAGTGATAGCAGAAAAACTGGTGAAAAGAAAAGTGAAGCCTACAGGAGGCGGAGTTATGGCCCCTCATCTGTTGGGTTAGTGTCCTCGCCGAGCTGTGGTGACTGCACGGTCCAGCAGTCATCTAGGTCATACAATGGATATATCTCTAGTCGATCTTCTTCTCAAGGAGAGGAAGGCGGAGACAATGTACCAACAAGAACGGGATTCCCCCGATCTAAATCCAGTATCTCGCTCCACGCCTGTGCTCACCAGGATCTCCAGTCTCAACTGTTGGCAGAGTGCCAGCTACAGAGACAGCAGCAAAAAGTTTTTGAGAGTTGTGAGTCACTTCCTGGACGAAGTCTGAGTTTATCGGACCTGATGCATGCTGGGACGCTTCTGAAATCAAAATTAAAAAAGTCAAACACAGCCACTGGTAGGTGATTAAAATTGATTTTCCTGTGCATAATATATAACATTGAAAAAGAAAGAGAAATTTTCAGCTTTTTAAATTGTAGGCAAATGAATGACATCAGAATTATGATGATCTTCATACGTGTATCTGTTATGGTTATGTTTTTATTAATGCTTCAGTACCTCAACAAAAAAAGTACTGGACAGTATTTTTTGTCATTATTATTTGATCACTGCAAAAATAGGTACATGTATTAATTTTGGCACTTCTTTTTAATCCCAAACTTCAAAACCAAATACCAAGCTATAAGCAGTGAATTTTTTGAGAGTCGATTTGCTATAGATGATGTACATGTATATATTGTACAATGAAGATTGACATTACGATGTTTTCATACAGATCTGTGTGAGGGGGATCGAGAGGAGCGGATTAAAGACGCCTTACAGTACGTCTGTCTGTTACTGCCCCCTGCCAACAGACGGAAGCTCCACCTACTCCTCAAACTGATGAGTCGGATGTCTGATAACCCAAAAATAGAACTAGACGTCTGCCAAACCACTAGGGCTCTGGTAGGTGAAGATTGTACAGCAGTGCGTGGTAATACTATTATTACAGTGAATGTGTTATGATATTAATCTTCTGGTCCATTGAAAATTACATGTAATGGCATTTGCAAAAAGTTACTGTAAACCAATTACTGTAAAACAACTTTTATTCGCGACTACTTTATTACGCGATTTACCACGGATAAACTAGTTCGCGACGATTTATTTTCGCGAACAAGCGTTTTTGGATCTGTTGTTAATAGACACATTCACACTAAGGACCGGTTCGCGGCGAGAAATATTCGCGATGACGAGGCTCTCGCGAACTTCGCGAAAATTTCTCGCACGCGAATAAAAGTTGGTTTACAGTATTATACGCGTCATTTTTTATTCGCGATTGACCGCTAGAGAACTAATCCGCGACGATTAATATCCACGAACGAGTGGTCACATTTTTTTTATTTCCACGAGTATTTTTGAATTAAATTGAAATTTTATATTAGCCCATAAACTAGGTAAAATGGTAGCGTGAGGTCTGCTTACGCATTTTTCAAGACATTCTGTGCAATGCGTCCATTTAATATCTTATATCCGCCCCTAAAGTGGGTAAAATGTCTACCATGAGTATACTCAATATACACATTTTCAAAACGCTCAGATGAAAATCGGGGAAAAAAATATAGGAGATTAAAATTGATTTAAAACTCTCAATTGTTTAAGTGCCTCATACTAATTGGGTAATCGACGCTTTCCAAGATCTACATAGCCAAGGGGCAATTATTATAAATGTTGGGACAGAGCAGGACTGGGCCATAATTAGCCGTAATTAACCAGGCTACCACGGATCTCGACTCGTCTGTAACAATAAATGAACAATAATAACACAAGCTGAAATGATTATTGACATTTAAATCATTTTTAGATTTGCCATTCGTTTTTATTTTTTCTGAATGTTTGAAATTAAATCTCAACTGACTTCATGTACAATAACAGTAGAGTACTTCCGTGATTAATTATTGAACCGTCGGAATCGGTATTGAAAAAAAGGGAAATAACTCTAAATAATACATAATATAAGAATATAATGAACAACTGGTTCGCGACGATAAATATCCGCGAGCAGAAGATACTTGCGGATATTTATCGCACGCGTATAATACTTGGTTTACAGTAAATACATGTATTCATACAGAATTGACAACGGATGATGAAACTTGATCCATGTGCATCCTTGTATTTTCAAAGCTACTTAATGTACAGTTATTTTTTCTTCATTGTACATTAAGAAATAAATAAGTTGATTAAAAAAAATCTGTTTTATTCCTATCCAGGTATTGGAGACCTTTGCTTCCTGTATACTGAGTTGCCATGACGACTCTGACCGTGAGGACTCGCTGGTGATGCAGATTGTATCCTTCCTGTCAGATCACTACAATCACATCCTATCTGTTCCAGAGGATCTGACCACGGTCGTACAGGAAAGACTCAGCGCCAGCACCAAGACTCAGGTAAATAAAACAAAGACCCAGGTACAGTAAACATATTATAGGGATCACTTTGTCTGTCTGTCTGTCCCTGAGGATCTGACCACGGTCGTACAGGAGAGACTCAACGCCAGCACAAAGACCCAGGTACTGTAAAACAAATACCCAAGTCCAGTAAATAAAACAAAGACCCAGAAACTTTTCTGCAGGTGATGTCTTTTGTACAGGTGTATCTGTTATTTTCTGCAGGTGATGTATTTTGTACAGGTGTATCTGTTATTTTCTGCAGGTGATGTATTTTGTACAGGTGTATCTGTTATTTTCTGCAGGTGATGTATTTTGTACAGGTGTATCTGTTATTTTCTGCAGGTGATGTATTTTGTACAGGTGTATCTTTTATTTTCTGCAGGTGATGTATTCCTCTGATACCGTGGGTTTGACCTACTGTCACCAGGTGTCAAAGTCTGAGTACGAGACTCAGCGTCTCAGTAACTCACAACGAGCCCTCCGAGATCTCCTGGACGAGATCATCAGCGATAGAACCATGTCCTACAAGGACAAGAAAAAGAGACTCAAAATTGTAAGTCTGTAAATCGGTCAATTATAGGTCTGTCAATGTAAAAATTAGTAACTCTCTTATGTTGTTGTACAAAAATCATGTAAATAGAGAACTAACATGACTAAAAACTTTTAAGACTAGAATCAAAGTTGTAAAAGCCATAAACATGATAAAAACATAACAGATTGTAAATCATAAGATGTATGTAAAAATGAGGTTGGAAATATCATGATTTTAAGAAATATTAACCATGTTGAGGTTCAGCTTAAAAAGCACTCAAAAAATTCAATCTAGTAAACTTAAAAAGACAAAACTTGTATTTTAGACTGTAATATGGACTTCCATAATACAAATCCCTTAACACACATGTACCCAAAGAAGAACACGTTTTACAAATATTTTGTCCTTGGTAAAAATTCTATAAAGAATTTAGTGAATCAGGGAGCAAGGATAATCAGATACTAAGAATATTTACACTGAGAGGGTGTCAGTACTCAAAGCTCATTCAAACTACAGTTGTGTGCCAAAAGTGAAGATAATTTTATTTTTTAATGTAATGTACAATGCAGGGATGTTGTTTCCAAAGCGCAGTGTTGAGTTTTAGACACATTGGAACATCTTTTGCTTGATAATTTAAAAGAACTACAAAAACAATTGAGCAAAGTGTTTATCCAATCTTTCAAATACATAATTGTTAGTTACATCTGTATATTTGTTTGTTTTTTTAGTTCCAGAAAACTTACCCTGACATATACGCTGAGAGGTTTCCACCCCACAATTCAAAACCAGCTGTTTCACTGAATCAGAAACCAGGAAACACCAAACCGGTGACATCACAGGACCCCAAGGCGGCGCTACCACCTAAACCTAAACTCAAACAACCATTACTAGTGAAACCACTGCTTAAACTGAAGGGGCTTAGAATCTGATTAATTACCACCCAAACTTTCAAACAGTAAACCTAATATGATTGGATATTACCAAACCTGTTATATAGTAAACCTGATATGATTGGTTACCCTGTCAAATTGAAATGTACAATTACAATACAGCAGATCTAAACTGTTATTACCATTACCTATAACAAAACCATCGCTACTGCTGAAATCACTTATTTTCATAGACTCTGTACCTCAATGTAGAAAAAAGCCCTTTGTCTTTGCTATCCCATAAAAAGTAGAATTTTTGGAAGCAAACTGATAATTTTGTGGTGGAGAAGTCATTCAAGAAAGTGTATGAAACACTGATTTATTTTGATTTGCCAACGCAAAATTCCCTGAAGTTTTCTGCTCTAAGATCATTAATGAATTACATGTATGTCATTTTTGAAAAACAAATTTCTTGACAGAGAACTGCCATTTGATGGTATCCATTATAATTTTGGCAGACTGTAGAAGCACTGCTTACAATTCCTGTTTTTGTACCATCAGCCTTCACCAACTGAGATTTTTAATGTATACTTACACTGATTTTATACATATTATTGTACATGTATGTGTAAAATTGTTTTTAGATTTTCTGTACATACAAATACTGCTATTCCTGTCCACTGTTAGTGTTGTATTTATTTTTAATCTTTTTTTTGTACCTTTATTTATTTAACTTACTGGTTGGTAAATGAACCTTTCCAAAACACCTTTGAGGTGACAAAACTTCCAAATATTAATTCCAAGCCTGTCTGTTTTGCATTTGTAATCATTTATGCTGTGTATATTTTTTAACATGGCAATAAAATATTTTTGTAGTAATGCCGGTATATCAAATTTTAAAGAATACAATATTCTATGACATGGTGTCATAAAATAGGGTCTTTTTATGCCCCACTTTGAAGAAGGGAGGGCATATTGCTTTGCTGCTGTCCGTCGGTCCACTTAGTTTCGTTCATTTTCTTCGCAACCGTTGCACATACTGAGATGAAACTTTGTATACAGATATATCACATGAATATCTAGGTCAAGTTTTGTTTTGGGTACGATCCCACCATTTTTGACAGAGTTATGCCCCTTGGACTTAGAAAAATTTCAATTATTTGCAGTTTCCTTTCATTTTCTTCGCAATGGTTGTACATACTGAAATTAAATTTGGTATACAGAGATATCACATTAGTATCTAGGACAAATTCTGTTTGGGGTAAGAACGCGCCATTTTTGACAGAGTTATGCCCCTTGGACTTAAGAAAAATTCCAATTATTTGCAGTTTCCCTTCATTTTCTTTGCAACCGTAGCACATACTCAGATGAAATTTAGTATACAGATTTTTCAGATGAATATCCAAGTCAAGTTCTGTTTTGGGTACAAATGCACCATTTTTGACAGAGTTATGCCCCTTGGACTTTGAAAAGTTCCAATTTGGGGGAGGGGGGCATAAGTGTTTTACAAACATCTCTTGTTTGAATGTGTATTATTTTTTTTTAGAAGTAAAAAAAGATATAACCACTGTCAGTTATGCCCCCTTTTTCTAATGAGGTCTTATTTCAAATTTTTCAATTTCTAGAATCACTATAATTCTGGTTTTAACAGTTGTCTACAAAGTTTATTTTTTGTTGGAAGTAAATAAGGGTACATAAAATTTCTCATTGTACATGCTGTATAAATCTAATGTATATAGATACAGCGCCCTAGTAATTTACATGAGGGCCCCTGTAATATACTAATTTTTAACTCCATATCATCAGATCTACAACTATTGCTATCATTTTATACTGTGTAATATACCTCACTAATGCAGCTTGTGATTGTAACCTCCATAAAAGTTTAACTTTTGGATATCTTCTGTTTATGACTTTTTGAAAGTATTTTTATTTTCTATATTATTTTTCTTCAGATGTTCTTCCCTCATTGTACACATTCTGTGTGTTCAATGCAAATTAATTAAGCTTTTTAACAAGAAATGTTATTTTCAGCATTATCATTATTGCTTAACATTAATTACTCAGTATTTGACCTGTTTGCTGTTACTTGTGTCTCGTAATCATGGCTACTAGTCCTAAATAAACTTCTAAGGTGGGACTATTGTTTGAATGACATCAGAAATAAATACACCAAAGGTATTCAATTGTCAGTTTTGTGTGTATTTAAAGCAGAATGCCAAAAAAAAAAAAAATTACAAGAAATGTATGTCAAAACACTGTTGCCCCCATATGGCAGCTCATGGCAAGAGTTGCATGCATGAAGTTTCTCTTGAGCAAGTCTAACTCCACTAACAAGGTCGAAATGTCAAAATTGTTGGTATTCAAATAAAGGTTCTGTCATAAGGAATTCACCTGTTAAATATGAATGCCCTACTAGTACTAAATTTTCAAACTAGGCATGTTCGAATACAGGTGGCCAGATATAGCTCAATGGGCCTTGAAGAACATTTGAAGAATATTTGTGACTTGTTCTAATTATTCCCCATAATTCAGTTTGATTAAAACAATAATGCATATTGCATGGAACAAAAAATTCATAAAAGCTTTATAAGTGTCTTTTTATGATCAATGGTTATCACCATGTAGAGATGTAATTTATATTGGTGTGCATGATCTCTGTACAGAAACATTTTAATAAAGAAGACAGCATTAATTTAATAAAAATTATTTTTTAAAGAAGTAAAGCAAAAATATTTATTATATGTACCTTCAAATAATTGTAAATAATTAAATATTGTTGTTTATAACCATGATAACATCGATCTTCTGCTAAGAATAATATTACGTACGAGCTATCTAATACCGATACGCCGGGAAAATGGCATCGGTACCACCACTAGGACAAGTAAGTGTATTTTTTGTTGTTTTCTTACAATATTCTTCCATATGTGTTCACTAACTGCTTCGAAATGATGCAAATGTATTTAGTGTATAAGATAAAACGATTTTGTGGCGCAAGCCAAGACTACACCATCTGGAGACTAGAGAACGCAACTGGCCGTTCTGTGACTTTTCGACATTTTGCATAGTAAAACCAACACTCTGGTGCATGCTGCATCATTAATGAAGAATAGATATAGCTTTGTATATTTAATATATAAATTAAAAACAAAATTTCTTTATCAGTTCAAAGTCCTGGTGAAAAGCACAAACTTACAAGTGTGGTGTGTTCTCGATCGGTGTATCATTGCATTGTATGCCAGCTGTTCACTGTAAAGAGATATATTACCGTTTTTCTTGTATTCATCAATATTCTTGAGAAAATATATTTACTCCTTAAATCAGAATAAGCGGTACTTCTTTCAATTGATTCTGATTTCGTACATTAATATGCTTCATTGTGTAAATATGGTAAAATTGTAGAGCTACCAGTAATTAATTTATATTATCTCAGAATAATGTAGCTGCAGAACTGTAGCTCTCAGAAAAAAATATTTTGACAGAACGAAGATCTACTACTTGGACCTGTGTTAAAAAAAATGTCGATAAAGTCATCATGATAAATCTGTATGAAAAATACTACAGTGTTTAGTAGTTTTATTTTTGTGTCAGTGCATCTGTGGGATGTATTTTTTGTTTTGCTCATTTATTCATTTTTTGAAAGGAAACATTGAGCTATTTCAAATGTATTACATGTATAAGTGATATATTTGAATTGTTCTTAGATTGCTGGGAGCCACATTGGTGTATACGAAGCTTACTACAAACAGGTAACATTAATGGCTCTCACTACACTTACAGTGGGGGGAGTATTTTTTTTCTATAAAATCCTATTTCTATGTTAAAGAATTTTTATATTTACATGATAAATGTATAGTAATAATAGTACAAGCAAAGTCATGTTCAAATAAGGATATTGCATCTATTTTTGAAGACATGTATTTATAAATATAAACAAGTACTTCCTTGTGTGATTTTATAATTGTTGATGTCTTATTTTAGTCAATGCTTGAAGTATTTTAATTACTATTTCTAGGCTGATCCAAACAACACGGGGAGTATAGGAGCTCTAGATGCTGCCAGCTTCCTCAAAAAGTCCTCTCTCCCAGACACTGTACTCTCGAAGGTCAGTACGGTAGAACACAAACTGACCACTGGACCAGGTCATGGATCTTGACAAGAACATGTACAATAAAGAATTATATGCCTTATCATGTATATAGCATAGGTAGATAACATTTGTCCAGTTTAGTGTTGTTCCACATTTTACTATAATTCAAAGAAACCTTAAAACAATGTCATCAGATTGGATTATGGTGAGAGCAATTCAACTTTAACAAAAGTCTTTGACCTTGACCTTCCATTCATGCCCATTTTCTAAAAGAAATTGCACAAGAACTTTTCATCAAACTTCTTTTTATCTATTTTTATATATGTGTGATTTCTGACCATATTTGACTAATGGTATTTATAGATATGAGATCTCTGACCATATCTGTCTGTTTTTAGATATGGGATCTCTGACCATATCTGTCTGTTTTTAGATATGGGATCTCTATGACCATGTCTGACTATTTAAAGATATAGGATCTCTGACCGTGTCTAACTATTTTTAGATATGGGATCTCTCTGACCCCTCAGGAAAGGGATACCTGGAAAAGACAGGGTTTTATGTGGCCCTGAAGTTGGTAGCCCTGGAGCAGAACAAGATAGAGCTCAGCATATCTAAACTGACGGAAATGACGCCAGCACCAAATCTGGTAGGAGAGCATCGGCAAAGTGTTCAGTATTACTGAAAGTTCATTAGTGATATTTAAAAAAAATGTTTGTTTAGCAAAACATTTGAACCTGGAACCATACAAAGATTTTGAATAAAAACATTTCAAGACAGTTTATTGCATGTATTTTTATTAATTAGTGGGAAAGAGTCATTCCATATAGTTGCTTTAGTAAATGTACCAGTTCTATGCAGGCATTGATTGTTTCCAAGAGAATTTATTGTATTTTACTAAGACAGGCATTTGCTTAATTTCAATCCTTTTTGTAGTACTTAGCTCAGTTATTTCAGATTACTGGGTAATTCCTATTTTCTTTGTACAGGGACCAGTGGAGACCCGTACTGAATCTCCCCTGACCACCACCTCTTCCTCCGTGACAGCTCATGTCTCTAACGTGCCGTGGTGCATCACTGTGAGTTCTAATGATGCAAAATATAAAAAGTACAGTAATTAACAGTCAATAATAACTAGGCAATTCCCCCTTGTAAATTTATGCATAGATATACTTCATGTGTGTTGTTTTTAGGGAAATAAGTAGGGATGCACGATTTTATCGGTATACCGGTATATCACGATTTTTTGTTCCTTGATACGTATCGTGATACGGAGACCTATATACTGGTATTTAGGTACATATTATAAAGTCCATAAATTATTTATTTATTTGTACTATCTCTCAAATTACATTTACAGAAAGTCTAAAAATTGTGGTAAAAGATGAAAAGAAGGGCATCTTACCATCCAAACATAATTAATTATATGTATATTATTGTTTTACAAACAGCGTGACAGTTTGCTGTATAGGGCATGCTAAAATTTTATAATTATGCTATTTATCATTTTACTCACCGATTGGATGTTTGATTTCAATGGAATCAATAAGACTTTGCATATGAAACATAGAACCCAGCAATACCACTGACAATACTGACCAATCGTATTGAATGACATGTTTACTAGCAAGCAGGAAACAACAGTTACACCTGGACAGACAAAACAAGTTTTACAACCTCTAATGATTATATTGATAGCTATATAGTACAACAGTAGCAGAGTAGCCTTACTAATTCTGTTTTTTGAATTTTCATATACATAATTATATAAAACCATCCGGTCAAATTGTAACAAATATAATACATGCTTTTTTTGAGGACAAAGAACGGGCTTTGACTGACAACGTGTTGCTGGTGAGTACAATTGCAATGTGATTGGCCAGTATTCTCAGGACATTGTTGTATTCTGAGTTTCATATGCAAATTAGTATTGATTCCATTGAAAAAAAGCATCCAATCGATGAATAAAATGAAAATCAGCACACAAAATTTTAGCACGCCCCATAAAGCAAACTGTCACGCTGTTTGTAAAACAATAATAATTTTATATAATGATTATAACTAAGGGAAAAATTGTCTATCTAGCATATTTTGAGAAAAATAATGAATTTTCATTTAAAATTATGTAAACATTGCTTGAAAAATATTGTGATATTATCGTGATATTCTGGGAAAAAATCTTGATATATCAGGATGCGAAATTTTTGGCGATACCCATCCCTAGAAATAATACATAAAACAAGTTGGAATTTATTTTCTTGAATCAAAATTGAATTGAATTGGAAGAGGACTATCTTAAGTTTTTAGAACTTGTGTCTAGTCCCTTTGACATGATGTCAATAAAATATGTTTAAAAAATTGAATTAACTGTACTCACTACTGTGCCAAAATTATATTATAGTTGTTTTGAATGTGTATCCTATCCTAGGATGGTAATTAGCACTTCAAAGGAAAATTATGAATAAGATAAAAGAAAAAAAATTGCAAAATACTTTGGTACATGTTTGTAGAATATCTTATTAAAACATTTATGTTATAAAGATCTTGCATGTTTTATTTGTTTGATATAATTGTATACATGGTTTATTGTTCATAGGATGCTGAAAAGGCCAAGTATGAACCAGTTTATAAAAGCCTGAACCCAGTGAACAATCTACTGTCTGGTGATAAAGTTAAACCAGTAAGTAAAATCAGTAGAACAGCTGAAGTAAAGTTTGAACCAGTTTATAACAGCTTAGTAAAGTATGAACCAGTTTATAAAAGCCTGAACCCAGTGAACAATCTACTGTCTGGTGATAAAGTTAAACCAGTAAGTAAAATCAGTTGAACAGCTGAAGTAATGTTTGAACCAGTTTATAACAGCTTAGTAAAGTATGAACCAGTTTATAAAAGTCTGAACCCAATGCACAATCTAATGTCATGTGATGAGGTTAGACCAGTAAGTAAAATGCGGGAACCAGTGTTTAACAGCTAAAATAAAGTTTGAACCAGTCTATAACATCTACAGTTCAGAAAAAGAGTTTGAACAAGACTATAACAACTAGAAATGAAGTTCAAACCAAATTAAAATAGCTGGAATACATGTAAATCCATAATGGATTCTAATAGACAAGTGTAGTAAAAAAAATCAAGGGCTCAGAAAAACAATTTAGTAATAAAAAAGTATCAATTTACTGACTGTTTTCTGTTAATTTTGATGAATATTGTTTTTTTTTAATTACAAATATATACATTTGTGGTATCTTTCCATTATATAAACATACAGAGAGAAAATATCTTCAATTCTGTATGAAGTTTGTCAGAGGTCAGAGGTCAATACGTGACCTAATCACACGGCGCAATAATATCTACCGGTACATGAATTATAAAATGACCTGCTCTGCTTGCTTTTCATGTATAAAAATGAATAAAATAAGCAAGTAAAATGATAATATTATTTTATTTTAAATGTAAACAAGTATTTCATACAGTTTTTAGCTCTTCTGAGCCAAAGGCTCAAAGAGCTAAAGCTATGGCCATTTGTGCGGTGTGCGTCGTGCGGTGTGCGGTGTGCGTTAACTTTTTAGAATATGGGCCATAACTCAAGAACCCTTTGGCCAATCAGTGTCAAATTTGTCACAGGGTATCCTTGGCCCAAGGGCTACCATTTATACTAAAATAAGGGTTGGGACCCTGAATCAAGGGGAGATAATCAGGATAACAAAAGAAAAAGTACAGGTTGCTAAAAAATCTTCTTCTCCAGAACCACCAGGCAGATTTTCACCAAACTTACATACAAGGATCAGGATATGTTGAAGATTAAAAATTGTTCAAGGCATGACCCTGGGGCAAAGGGTGTGGTCTCAAGGTCACTTTAAAGTTGACCTAAATTTACAATTAATAAAAATGTTCATATTTTGCTTACTATAAGGACTAAGATCATCAAATCTTGTAAGTTGATGCATCTTAGGACTTCACATCATGTTAACTCAAAAGTAGGTCACGGTGACCTACTTTTTAAATTTTGCGGGCATTTGTTTTCAAATTGATTTAAAGGCATATTTTGGAGACTTTAAGGCCTATGATCATCAAACTTAGTCAGTTGATGCATCTTGGGTCCTTGAACAACGTCAACTTAAAAGTAGGTCACCGTGACCTACTTTTTGAACTTTAAGACTTATCCTTTTCAAAACATTTAATCCCATTATTTCAGACACTGAAAGGGTTAGAATCATCAAATCTTGTAAGTTGCTGCATCATGGGACCTTAAAACATATTTAAGAAAAAGTAGGTCACTGTGACCTACTTTTAGAATTTTGCAGGCATTTGTTTTCGAATTGTTTAAAAGGCATATTTTGATAACCTATGACCTATGATCATCAAACTTGGTCAGGAGATGAATCTTGGGACTCTGAAAAATGTCGACCAAAATGTAGGTCACGGTGACCTACTTTCGACATTTTATGGCTATATTTAAGTATCTTAGGTATTTATTGGCTTAGAATCATCAAACTTTGTGAGTTGATGCATCTTGGGTTTTCGGAGAATGTCGACCAAAAAGTAGGTCACGGTGACCTACTTTTGACATTTTATGGCTATATTTAAGTATCTCTAGTACTTATTGGTTTAGAATCATCATACTTTGTCAGTTGATGCATCTTTGGTTTTCGGAGAATTTCGACCAAAAAGTAGGTCATAGTGACCTACTTTTGAATATCTCAGGTATTTATTGGCTTAGAATCATCAAACTTTGTCAGTTGATGCATCTTGGGTTTTCGGATAGTGACGACCAAAAATTAGGTCACAGTGACCTACTTTCGACATTTTATGGCTATAATAAAGTATTCTCTGGTACTTATTGGATTAGAATCATCAAACTTTGTCAGTTGATGCATCTTGGGTTTTCGGAGAATGTCGACCAAAAAGTAGGTCACGGTGACCTACTTTTTGACATTTTATGGCTATATTTATGTATCTCTAGTACTTATCGATTTAGAATCATCATACTTTGTCAGTTGATGCATCTTGGATTTTTGGAGAATGTGGACAGAATGTTGACCAAAGAGTAGGTCACAGTGACCTACTTTTGAATATCTCAGGAAAAATGTCGACTAAAATATAGGTCACGATGACCTACTTTCGACATTTTATGGCTATATTTAAGTATCTTAGGTATTTATTGGCTTAGAGTAATCAAACTTTGTCACTTGATGCATTTTGTGATTTCCAAGAATGTAGACCAAAAAGTAGTTCTAATTGGCTAAGAATCATCAAACTTTGTCAGGTGATGCAACTTGGGTCTTTAATAGGATACTTAGGGTTAGAGGCTTCAAATACAAGTGATA